TGCTGAGCACGGAGCCCTATGTGGGACTCGATCCCAGGACCCTGGGATCATGACCTGAGCCGAAGGCAGTCGCTTAACCAACTGAGCCACCCAGGCGCCCCAGGAAAGTATTCCCTTTAAGGAAGGTCTTCCTTAACCTTGGGTCTTTGCACTTCCATATCAATTTTAGAATTAGCTTGTCTATTTTCCCCCCAAAAAAACTGTGGAGATTTTTTGATTCTTTATGTAGATCAGCTTGGAGACAACTGACAACAGTTTTGGGGTATTTGAGTCTTCTTATCCGTAAATGTGATATAATTTCTCCAGGTTGTCAATGTTTCACTTATGTTATAAACTCCTCCATACAGATCTTGTAAATATTTTCCATTTTTTTTTTCTTACGCCATATGCAAAGTTAACACCTCCGATTGAGTTGGTCTCTGGGCTCTGTGTCCCAGGCCACTGATCTACTCATCTTTTCCTATACCAAACTACTGTGTTTGAATTCTGCAGCTTTGAAGTAATTGCTCAGTAAGTCTTGTTATTTTACACCCCCAACTTGCAGGCGGAATTTTGCCAACCCAAGGTTTAAATGATCATGATACATGTTTGAATGTAGGTCCTAGAATGAAGTTTCTCAAGCAGGCATTAAAAATAAGCTTTTCAGCCAATGTATAGCTGTGGAGTTTTAAATTTCACTTAGATTTGGCACAGTACTTCATTCAAAAGTATTTATTTCCACAAATTTTTATCCACAGCTGAACATTATAGTAACTAATACAAGCATTTTTTTCTAAAAACAAAGGTATAGTTTACAGATTTGTTCAAAATGAAAAAATATTTTTATCAGTAGTATTTCTTCTTACAATGTTAGATTCACCCCAGAATATGATGTGAACCCTGTTCGGAGAAGCAGACTTTCATCTAAACAGTAGTTGCTGGCAAAATGTTATATCCAAATCTGGGTTATTTCTGATACAATATCATTTTAGAAAGTAGCTTAAAATCATTTCTGATTAATCGCCTTTATTAGCATTAGAAATTTCTTTAGGAAAACCAATCTTTAGTAGCGATCTAATAAGAGAAAAACAAGTCCTATATTTGTCATTGCCATTAACCTCTAATTTTTCTATACCCCCTAATTCTCTAATTATGGCACCAGTGTGTGCAAAAAAAAAGGAATTTTGGCTATTCGGCTCATGCAGGAAATTAGAGAAACTGACTGCAGAGGAATATTCTAGGAGGAAAAAGGACAGGGTCCAGCCCCATGCTGTCACACTGTAGTGACTACTCAGTCCCATAGGCAGGAGAAAAGAGCTTCAATTCAGGATATATCCCTGCTGCCTAGAAGGTCAAACGTATGACAACAATTACATATATTCTAGGCAAAAGAAATGAATTCTAATTTATTTTCTATAATGCTAATGCATTAAGGCTGTAAGTAAAGAGTGGTGAATTGACGGTACCAGGGTTAATTTTTTCCTAAGTGTTCCAAGTTCCTAGTTTTGTCTTTTGTCTTGTTTTTACAAAAGCCTGAAAATTTCAAGTATAGGAAAATCAAGGGAAGAAACGGCTTTGGACATGCTCCATGGAAAGGGGAGAAACCATCTATTTACCTTTGGGTCTCACCTGCTGTCCAGGTACCATAAAGCTAACTGCAGCTACATGATCCAGGGAGAATGCGTGGAGGGAATATGCTTGTCAGCTCTAGCAAGTTACTAATATGTATATCGCACACATTACTACCGGTAAACAGAGAGGTCCCCTGTGATGCTGAAAACACAGACTGTTTATAAATATTTGATTCTTAATCTTTAAAATGCTTCTAATGTTTCAAGAGACAAAGCAAAACTCCACCATGATGTCGAACATTAAAATTCTTCCCACGGCAACTCATATTTCCAAGAAATAATTGACAAGTCAGTTATCTTAGTAACCGCCCAAGGCACATGGTGAGAGGGGTGTCAACTAAATTTTAAATAAAAAAGAGAGACAGGTATCTAGTGCGGAGTTCAAACCTTGATGTTGAATTTACGTGAAGTCATTGATTTCACGAAGTTGGAAAATGTAGAACTTTAAAAAGGCAAAGAATAAAAATGCTAATAAGTGATTAAAGTTTCTCTGAAGATGCTTCTTCCAGTCTCCAAGTGTTAAGTTAAACAGGGCCAACTGAAACATAAACCAGTTGCTGTCTTTGTTGTTAGTACTCTATAAAAGACTATTTGTTTTTAAAGCATATATAAATTAAGTACAGCTCCAGTGGAATGCCTCTCTCTTCTGGAAAAGAACTAAGTCTGCCATTTCTTGGGCTAGGTAGAGGACAATTCATAACCTCCCTACCCTCCCCCCATATTTATTCTAATTGCCAAGTTTTTATTCAATGAGTTCTTGGCACCTAACATGAACAGTGACAGCAGTGGTGACCCACAGAGAGGGAGAGAATGAGGGTATAAGACAGAACGTAAGGATAACAAGCCACTGCATTTATGGAATCATTGCTTTTCAAATTCTTTAACACACTCTAAACAAGGCCATTTGGGGTTATCTTGAAGATTAAGGTCAGTCCTTACATGCGAGACTCAGTTTTAACTGAAGTGCAACAACAAGCAAATTATACTGAACAAACAACTTTAAAAAGAGGTAGCCACCAACCCAGTAGGTTTAGACTGGCCTTCCAAATGAAGTCAGGGTGTGGGTTGAGGGGGGTTGCGTTGTGGGTTTCAGGTGACATAACTGTACCAGGCGAAGGGGGGGGACAGGCACGGCTCTGCAGATACCCAAGATGAGCCAGCCATGTTTACCGTGGAGATGTCATGCTGAGGTCATAGATTTGGACAGGGTGCTCCAGAGTCTTCGCCCAGGTGCTGGGCCTTGTTCTGCCCCAGCAGCCACAAAAATGGGGTGCAAGTGGAGCTAAAAGGACACAGGACCGTTCGGGGCTTGGAGTGTGCTGTGTTTCCGGGAGCTTTTTGAGTTGGTTGGCTCAGTAACAGATGTTGCGTGCATGTGTGTGCATGTGTGTGTGTGTGTGTGTGTGTGTGTGTAGGGGGATGTTCTACCTGCCATTCATGGAGAAATCTTATCTTCTTGATGTAACATAGCGGCTCTTCTCAGTTTTACAAACACCATTCGTTCTGGTCATGGGAACAACATACTGCTATCTACTAGAAATATGGAAAAAGTCACTAAAAAGTGGGTGTAGAGAATATGCAGGGTTTTCTAATTGAATGCCTACTGTTGAAGAGGCAAGAAAAAACCTATAAAAGCAGCGAACATAAAATCTGCTGTCATATTCTACTGAATACTGTTTTAGTCCTTTTTTCAAAGCTGAGATATTTACCATGTTTTTGTGGTAAATTTTAAAAAATGTTGAAAATAGGGGCGCCTGAGTTGGCTAAGCATCTGCCTTCAGCTCAGATCATGATTCCGGGGTCCTGGGATCGAGTCCCGCATCGGGCTCCCTGCTCAGCAGGGAGTCTGCTTCTCCCTCTCCCTCTCCTGCTCCCTCTGCTTGTGCTCTCTCAAATGAATAAGATCTTTGAAAAAATAAAAAATGTTGAAAATAACCTGAAAAGGGAGTGTTGACCTAAGCTATTCTCACTCTTTAAAAATAACACACACCCATACATACACACAAACCCAAAAAAACTTTTGGATGCTGATAATCCCTAAACTGGATTTTTGGAAAGTTTTTCAAATAATCTGATTCTCAAGTTTTACTGTTTTGGTTACCTGGAAATACAGTGCATTATGTGATGCTTTTATCGGAAGTTTTATGGCATTAAGGGATTACAGGCTTTCACACTGACTTGTTTGGTTTTTCATCTGTAAATAAAACAAAAGTTGGTATTCTTTTCTAATATTTAGATTATGTAGATTTTTGTGAAAGTTTTGTAGACTCCAGAAGCACGTGGACTAGCACTGAAAACAAAGACTGTCTTTCCATGTTGCTCATACTTTACGTTTGGGACCACAGCATTTTATTCCACAAACCCAAGACTATGCAAAAAGGGTTTAAGCATATGAGGGACAGAGTCTCCTGATTTTGCTTTAGAAACCAGTTCTCAAAATGCTTGGAGGTTAGTTACACCACTGTCTCTGCATCACCAGGCATTCAAAATACTTCTGAAAAACTTCTCAGAAGGCCCAAGTCCTGTACTTTTGTTCTTAGACCATCTCCCCACAAACTCGTTTGCACCAGTGGTTCATTGACCTGGGGAAATGTCACCCACCATGCGACAGCATCATGGTTATTAGTACCGTTATTTGTTAAAAGTCCTCTGAAGGCAACTTACTTGACATATTTTTAGTATTATTTTACTTTGGGCATCCTCCAGTTATATGCAAAGACCAAAACTGGGCAGCTTCCATTTTAAAGATGGGCACCTTTTATATGGCCGTGGGGGCTGCTGGGTGGCAGTAGATGATTATAATGTGTATTCGTTTAGACTGAAATCATATACTTAAAAAAAAAAAAACTTCCATATTTCAAGTGTTTTTATTCTGAGCAGTACGTACAAAAAAATAATGCCAGATGTGTCTTATTCCGTACAGTTCAGCACTCTGCACCCTCTGCACAGGCTCTCAGTCTTTTACAGATTTAACAGACCCCTCAGTTCACTGTACGGTAGAGGCTTCCTTCTTGCTGTCACTGGAAATGACAGCTCAACGGCTGCTTCAATGGAGGGACTGAGCCCCTGTGGCTCCACAGGGGGGACTGCGCCTTGTCAGACCTTGTTGAGGAACTCCAGATTGAGATAGGCTGGGATGTGGATTGAGTCCATGGTCAGCGAGGACGGGTTGAATGGAAACAAGACGGGAAACATGTGCTTGGAGTCCAACAGCAGCTGCTGAGGGTCATTCCGCTCTTGTAGCTGCGCCTGTGGGGAAGAGGAAGACCACGTGAAAGACCACCTAAAAACAGCCAGTTTAGGGGAACTCACAAAAGTGAGTCAGCGTGTATCACGGAAATATTTGTTAAGACAGGTTGGGCTTCAGGAGAACGTGGCCTCCTTGTCCCTGTGGCATTCGGCAGGGAGAGGGAACCCTGGTTTCGGCTTGTTGGAGCACTGATGACCTTAAGCTCTCCCCGAATTCTGGCAGTCTTTAAAAAAAGTTTTCCAGCGAAGGGAGAATAGAAAAATACATTTCAGGTGCAAATCGTGTGGAGAGGTACTGTGGTGAAGGGGTTAAGACCGTGGGCTCTGATCTGGCACCACCCTGGGCAAATTCCTGAACCTATCTATGCCTCAGTTTCCTCATCTGTAAACTGGAAGGAGGAGAGTGACATCACACAAAATGGTAGAGTGGGAAGCACAGGGGCTCAGTCCCTCCATTGAAGCAGCCGTTGAGCTGGAAAAAGCAATTGCTCTCAAATATCTTGGAACTCTGGAACCTGACTAGGCTCTTATGATAAGCAGGAGAGTGCCTGATGAAGGGGGAGGCTGCTTATCTCTGCTAAGGGAGCAGTATATGTGAACCGGCCACTAATCCCAGTCTCCAGCCCCCGTGCAGCTGCAGGGACAGAGGCCCACACTCTGGGAGAAGCTGGCCAGTGCAGTAGGGCAGGCAGTGGGACCTTGTCCTCTGGAAATCTGGGTTCATGTACTTGTTGGTCTGGTGTTCCCTGAGGGACTGTCACAGATGCCTACTGTGATTTTGGCTTCTCTTGGGATACAGTGGCTTCCTCCAGTGGCATTAACTGGAAGATTTAAAAGGACACATATCCTCTATTGGAGCCAGACATTTTAGGAAAAGTATAATAACTGAAATGAAACTTTTCAGTCACTAAAGGGGTTCAGCAGCAGACTTGAGCAGGCAGAAGAAATGATCAGCGAACCTGAAGATAACGCAATTGAAATTATCCAGTCTGAGGAACAGACAGGAAAAAAAAAATAAAAGTGAACAGAACCTGAGGGACCTGTGGGACACCATAAAGCATACCAACATATACCTTATAGTAGTCCCAGAAGGAGAAAAGAGAAAGGGGCAGCAAAATATTTGAAGAAGTAATGGCTGAAAACGTCCCAAATCTGATGAAAGACATACACCCGTGCCCCCCTCTCCAAGACTCTCAACAAACTCCAAGCAGAATAAAAAAAAGACCCAAACAGGGTCAAAAACATTCACACTGAGACACATTATAGTCAAATTATCAAAGCCCAACAACAAAGAGGGACTCTTGAAAAAACAGCGAGAGAGAAAGGACTCCTCACATATAAGGTATCATCAAGATTATGAACAGATTTCTCATCAGAAACCATGGAGGCCAGAAGGCAGTGGGGTAACCTATTTAAAGTCCTGAAAGAAACTCTTAACCAAAACCTCTATATCCAGCAAAACTATCCTTCAAAAATGAAGGAGAAATGAAGTCCCTTCCAGATCAACAAAAGCAGAGGAAACAAAAGAAAGTCCAGGCTGACATAGGAGGATGTTGGACAGTAACTTGAAGCCATAAGAAGAAATAAAGAACATAGGGAAATGGGAAGGCCAGCATTGTACTTTTGGCTTGTAAGTCCTTCTTCCTACACAATTTATACAGATGCAGACAACAATTATGCATTTCTGTTGATGGGATCATGTACAACAGATGTGACAGTAACAGTATAAAGGCAGAGGGATGGAGGTATGTAGCCTCAGAACCTGTGTACTATTGAAACTCAGTTGGGATTATTTAAACTATGTGGTTACAAGTTTAAGATGTTAGTTGTGATCAGCAGGATGACCACTAAGAACTAAAAAACATACAGAAAAGGAAAGTAGGGAATCACAATGGTACGCTACAAAAACTAAATGCACACAAAGGCAGTAATGAGGAACACAAAACAGAGGGCATACAGAAAACAAGTAGCTCCCCAGCAGGAGTGATGAATGATAGAGTTAACATCATGTAAAGCAGAGAATGGTCTCTGGCACTTGGTGAGTCCTGTGTTGGCCGCTGTTATCTTTACGGTATGCTCCTTTGTTCCTTCTGCCAGTCCATATCCCATCAACCGCTGAACCACGAACCCAGGTGGAGCTGTCCTTACACAAAGGAGACTAGTTAACGATGAGTGCTGCCAAGAGGGAAATCAATACATCCCGAGCTTGTAAGAACATGGGTCATCTCCTACTAGCTTAAGCTATCAAAATATTTTTCCTCATTAGGAAAACTCACCACCATTGCTTCAGGTAGTGACATTCTGATATGTTGTAACTTTCTAGAAGTTTCATCATTTTCCTGTTTTAGCCAAGACCAAGAGATCTTATCTGTTGAACTCATCCAGTATCTGCATGTTACAGGTAACTATCACTCATAGCACCTCCGTATTTTTTTTTTTTAAGATTTTATTTATTTGAGAGAGAATGAGAGAGAGAGCACATGAGAGGGGGGAGGGTCACAGGGAGGAGCAGACTCCCTGCAGAGCAGGGAGCCCGATGCAGGACTCGATCCCAGGACTCCATGATCATGACCTGAGCCGAAGGCAGTCGCTCAACCAACTGAGCCACCCAGGCGCCCAGCACCTCCGTATTTCTAAAAGCCTTCAAGTAGGGCTGAGGTCAGTAAATAACGCAGGAGCATTTGAAAAGTGCTGGGAAACAGGTTTTTAGAACAAAATCAGTGGGAGCATAGGATTATGAGTTGATTCTACAGTGTCTGTGGGATGCATAAAGGTGAACCTGAATAATGAATGGAAAACACTTTAAATTTTCAGTTGTCAGTTTAAAAACCTCCATGTGTTTGGTATCACATGAAAAGCAGGCCAAATTTTTATTTATTGAGAGAGGGAGTGTGGGAGAGGCAGAAGGAGAGGGAGAGAGACAATCTCAAGCAGACTCAGTGCTGAGCACGGAGCCCTATGTGGGACTCGATCTCACAACCCTGAGACCATGACATGAGTTGAAATCAGGAATCCGATGCCCAACCGACTGAAGCACCCACAGGCCCTGGGCCAAAATTTTAAAGTAATTTTAACAGTTTGAAAAAGTAGCTTGAAATAATGGGAACAGTTTAGCAGAAGCAAGGACATTTAGAGACAAATAAGCAACCACTGTTACTAATTTAAGATACCAAATGGTGGCTGTGATGCGACCCTAGCAGAACGAACGGTCTCTCTAGGATCACTGAAGTTCAACAGTCAGCTCGCTCTCAGCTAGACTTTATTTATTATTACAAACCTGGTCACACAGCCTATGAAGGTGTACATAAAACATGAAAGGGCAAAAGGCTGTTAAAATTGTTTCATGGCACTTAATTAATGTCCTTTTCTTTCTCGACCTTAGGTAGATCAGTAGGCTCTACTCTTTAAAGGGTTTGAAGAAATTGTAAAGGATTGAGAGGAGGGTATAAAAATGGAGAAAAGTTAAATAGTACCTATAATTCAGCAGCAAACGGTGCGTATACCTACTTAAAATTCACGAGATAGTCATTTCATAGGAATTATCCTGTGAATCCTCCAGTGAGTTTAATAATCCCCTCAAATTTACATTTTTAAAGGTCAGCATGTTCTGTCCATATCACCCAAGCAAATGCTTTGCTTTAACGGGCAAATAGTATTTATCCCACATAAGATGTGTTCAAATACCGGAAGATGGCACGGATCATTCTACCCTTTTCTCTGCGTATCCTCTGTCTAGGGAGAAACGGAACGTAAAGCTACAGCTAGCAAAAAACAAAACCCAAATTTTTTGATAGCATCACCAGCCCGAAATTGGCAGCTGAAGACGACTCAGAATCTGACTCTGTGGATCTCCAGAGGCTATCTGACCAACCTCTGCTACTTTTTTCCCTCTGCCCTTAATTCAAAGCCAAAGTCTGATGTGGCAAAAATTCTTTGACCTTTGACTCTTCTTCTAAACAGTGCCATTGGCAACATACAGGCAGTTCCAGTTCTCCCTCTGATGTGTGTGTCTTAGATATTTAAAACCAGATAAGACTTTCTAAACTCGTACTTTGGTTCGTGTAAATTATCAGTGCTCCCCAATAATCCGTGGGGAGTCAGAGAGCCCAGTGGCTTCTCTTTTGTCATCACGAGTCTTCCTCCACTTTCAGGAGCTGACTGTGGCTGCGTCCTAACTGGATCTTTTCAATCAGCACCCCACCTTTTTGAGGTATCTGTGTCGGTCAATCCCTGCCTGCTTTCGCTATGCTCTCTGCATGTCACTGCATTTCCTCCACTGCTTTTAGAAGAACAGGATTCCATCTGACCTGGCATCCTTCCCTTGACCTTCAGCCTCCGGTTTCTACTTAGACATGATGCTGAAAAGTTCATTTATTCTTTGACATAGCTGATTTTCTCAATCTCTGGATCTCTACCTGGCAGTGGTGTAAGGCGCTCTGAAGAAAAATCCCAATCATGCGTCAAAGGGAATAGCTTCTCATTCCCCATGTGTTCTCAAGGTTCTTGAGTATCTTTCGGATAAACCCTCATTTTAACTCCCCTTTTCCTGACTCCTCTGATCACTTTCATCCATTTCTTTTTATCCTGGTTCCATATGTTGGGATCACACTTCACTGGCTAAAGAGGCTTAGACGTTTGAGAAAGTGTTGTATTTCCTCAAGATGTTCCCCACATATAGTAGCGGGAGAAATGGTCACGGTCTTTCTGACTCATCTTGATGTGATTCATTACGCGGATTCTGTCAGCTACAGTCACACATAAAACTGAGGCATTCTACTATTGCTACACCATTTGGGGTGTGAAAAATTTCCTCACATGTGGTGTTTTAACATTACAGTTAACTCCTGCGAGGTGTCCCAATTAATAGCAGACATTTGTGATCAGTTAAATAAGACCAAGATATCCACTGATCTATTTGGCAAAATTGGTAATTGGGGGATCTTATATAAGAGATGGGATCATAATTTTGAGCCTAACTTGTTTTGTGTTTATCCTTTTGCATGTGCTGATGCATGTACCGTTTGCTGGCCGTCAGGACCCTCTGGAGCCATACCTCAAGCCCCTGGACTGACCCCTGGATAGGTTCTAACTGCCACACAGCCCGCCACCCCATTTCCGCAGGAAGCAGCCAGAGCAGTCATTGTTCCATTCCCTAATAGCAGTTAGGGTTACCATTCCAGGGGGAGGAATGAGTAAGGGACAGGTGGGGCTAGGTAGGGAGAGATAGATAGGGGGCTATGTGATTAGGCTCACAGAAATCCCCAAAATGTGGAGGTGTGGGGAAACCAGAGATGAGGAGACAAATCGGACCACCCTGCCCTAGGCGTGTGGGGTGGGTGTCTTTATGATAATCACCTGTGACCAACAAAGAACAACCAGACCCTAAAAAGGAAGTAAGTCATTGAAGGTGTTATTAATTGAAATGTTAAAAGGATTTAAGTTCCCTGGTTAGCTTTCTATAAAAGACCAACCCTGAAGACCCTTGTTGGCAACACTGTTGGGACCCCTCTCACTCTTGAGAGCTTTTTCTGTTACCTTCACTTAATAAACTCCTATGACTTTACTAAAAAAAAATTTTTTTTTTTAAGGCATTCAGCCCAAATCACCTAGGCCTCAGCTTTAAAAAAAAAAAAAATCCCATAATCTCAAGACAGATTTAAATAATCATTTCCCTAATATGTTTTCTTTCAAGCATATTCCTAAGGGCAAATATTATGAGTCTTAGAGACAAGATTGAAGAGCTCAAATTGTTTTCTTTTTTTAAGATTTTATTTATTTGACACAGAGAGAGACAGCGAGAGGGAACGCAAGCAGGGGGAGTGGGAGAGGGAGAAGCAAGCTTGCCTCAGAGCAGGGAGCCCGATGCGGAGCTCGATCCCAGGACCCAAGCCAAAGGCAGACGCTTAAAGACTGAGCCACCCAGGCACCCCTCAGATTGTTTTCTTAAAATAATATTTCTTAGTTCATGGGTGGGGTTGATATTCTGCTTACTTTGTTAATTCCCCTTGGTGCTACAATTCAGTGACGTTAGTGGCAAATAATACTTAGACTACATTTAAAATCTGAGCTTATAAAAGTTCAGGCTTTTGTGTATATAGGTAAGTTATTTATGGGTGATATAGTTAGTATTTACCTAAAGGGAAAGCCTTAGAACGTAAGGTCTTTTGGCTTAGAATATAACCAGCGATTTGTTAATACAGAGAAGTTAAACTCTAAACTTCGATTTCCTTTATTAGTTTTAGGTGAGGGCTTTATAAAATTAATATTAGTTTTGGACCAGGACTTTATAAAATTGATTAATATTTTAAAACTCACCTGGATTGTTCGTATAAAGGCCACGGTTACCCGTTCTTCAAATTCATTCAGGGGAGTATAAAGGTTTAAAATTTTGACAATCTGTTGGAACAAAAACAAAAGCTTAGCACAGACCTAAAGGAACATAAGACAACTTTTGAATTTCAAAGAATATAGGACATTGGCACAAGAGTTTACTCTTCTTTACACAGGACCCATACCTTGGAGCCGGAGTGAAATTGAGGAGAGGAGCCTAAAATTAGTAAACTACAGACCAGAGGCTGCATCTGCTAGAGCCTCTTAACTGCACTCGCGTCTCCTACATCTCTACCCACCCACCGGCACCTGGCTTAAAAGATAATGATTCTAGGAAACTGAAATCCTGAAATCCTCAGCCTCTTATCTACTAGTAATTTAAAGGTTTCTTACAGAGTACTGGAGATCTTACCTTAGATAATAAAAGTGTTTTTTGTTTGTTTGTTTTAAAGATTTTTTATTTATTTGACAGAGAGAGAGAGAGCACAAGTAGGCAGAGTAGCCGGCAGAGGGAGAGGGAGAAGCAGGCTCCCCACTGAGCAAGGAGCCCGATGCGGGGCTCGATCCCAGGACTCTGGGATCATGACCCAAGCTAAAGGCAGTTGCTTAACCAACTGAGCCACCCAGGCACCCCTAAAAATGTTTTTTGATCATACTTCCCTACCTCCTCCCACCCCCCAAATCACTTATAAAAGGAACAGTTTTTCCTAATTGAACAGAGGATAATCTCCTGTCTGCCTACCAATTGTTTGGTGGAAGTAGCCTGCCCAAATGCCAAGAAATGCCAGTTGAATTCTAGAAGTAAACTTCGGAAAGCAAAATATATGTAAAAGGGGGATAAAGTTTGAAAACTTCCAGTACATTTATAGAAAGAACCAATTCTCTCAAGAGTTTGGCATTTCATCTTTTAGTAGTTAGTGGGGGAGGTAAGGAAAGGTATATTTACAATACTGAGTTTGGATTTTGTTCTTTAGGTGCTGGACAGGGAGAAGAAGGTGCATGATTTAGCTTAGAAAGTCTGATTTTGGGGCACCTGGGTGGCTCAGGTCATGATCCCAGGGTCCTGGGATGGACCCCCTCATCGAATCAGGCTCCCTGCTCAGCAGGGAGTCTGCTTCTCCCTCTCCCTCTACCCCTCCCCCTGCTTGTGTTCTCTGTCAAGTAAATACTTAAAAAAAAAAAAAAAAAGTCTGACTTCTTGTACTGGTCTCATTTTGTGAGGCCACTTTGTGTTGGCCCATTTCTAAATAGGCACACTCATGATGGAGGGCAAGTTGTCCTGTGTGTAGACAGGATTTATCTTTTGATAGACTGGTAACATCTCAGCAACCGAGTCCTAGTATAAATACAATTTGGCTGGGGGAGGGCAGGGAGGAAAGGCACATTCTAATGCCTCTAGGTTCTTAATGACTGTTTAAAACAATGTCAATGGATTCTAAGTGAAAACACGGCCATAATGAAAGTATAGTCGTTAATGCCAAAGGCATGATGCTGCCCATTTCTGAACAAAATTTAAAATTTCTAGTTAGAGACATTCCAGAATTGTGTTTTAAAAATGTTTTTACCGGGGCGCCTGGGTGGCTCAGTCGTTAAGCGTCTGCCTTCGGCTCAGGTCATGATCCCGGGGTCCTGGGATCGAGCCCCGCATCGGGCTCCCTGCTCGGTGGAAAGCCTGCTTCTCCCTCTCGCACTCCCCCTGCTTGTGTTCCCTCTCTCGCTATCTCTCTTGCTTTCAAATTAATTAATTAATTAATTTAAAAAAAATGTTTTTACCTTAAAAAACCAACCAACCAGGTGTGCCTGGGTGGCTTAGTCGGTTAAATGTCCGACTCTTGGTTTCAGCTCAGGTCATGATTTCAGGGTCGTGAGACTGAGCCCCACGTGGGCTTGGCCCTGGGCATGGAGCCTGCTTCGGATTCTCTCCACACCACCACCACCCCCACCTTTTCCCCTCCCCCTAACCACTCGCGTGCATGTGCGCGCTCTCTAAAAACAAAACAAAACAAAAATACATTTTTACCCCAGCTTAATGTTTTGTGGGTTTACTACCTTATCTTTCTCTGTGAGCAAGAGGGCCCAGAGAGTTACTGGGGGAACGGTGGCATCTTGATCCACAGACCAAGGCGGTCTTCGGTTCACCCAGGAACATTCCGTCCACGACAGCTTCTGTTGTGTCATTAGGGGGCTAGGAAGGCTGTGCGTGCACCCCACACACAGAGAAGCCGCCAGCAGGAATGGACTTGGATGGGAAGGCAGGCGGGCTGGGTGCCGGGGCCATACCTGCTGCGTGCTGAGTGAGGTGCACAGGGAGCAGATGGCCTCTGCATCCTCCGGGGTTTTCTTCTTTAACTGCAGGAGCTGGGCTGCTTGGATCAGGGGTTCCATGGTCTGGACGGCTCCGCTCTGGTGAAGGTTCCTTCCCCGAAGCCACTCTTCAAGTTGGCTTATGTTGTACCTTAGATAGAGGTCAAAGTGAGCTGTGTTAGGCCAGGGCTCCTAATGCACTGGGATGAGCACACCTGGTGTGTTCATGGTGCCGCCCAGCTGCAAACAGTGGGATCATTCTCTTCACCCTCATGAGCTCACGTGGAGCAAAAGCTTGAAAAGCACCTGGCGCTCAGTAACGTTTTGCTGAATGAATACATGAATGAACAGGTGTTTAAAATCAAGCAAAGATGAGGTACGTGAAGTGTCTGGGTAAGTTGATGGAAAATGAGGCATTCAATCTACTGAATTGAAGCAACTGATATTTAACATTCACAAACATACTTCTACGTGAGCCTTCATGAGTCTCTAAACTCATCGATGTTTCCCTCCGACCTACCCACACTGTCCTTACAATCTTTAGAGTAAGGAAATGTCTTTCAAGCTCTGAACTAATTTACCAGGTCATTGTCTTGGTGTAGAATTCCACCAACAAACAAAAAGGCGATGGAATTGTGTCTCACACTGACTGTGACAAGGACCATCAGTCAGGCCTGGATTTCACTGTCAGAGACAAAGGTCTCGGGCTCCGACTCCAGCTGGCGAGTGCAGGCCCCTCCAACCATGCGGCTCGGGCCGGGCACCCCCGCTCCTACCTGAGCTGCATGCCTGTGCTCCAAGAGCAGACGTCCTTCCGCAGGAGCAGGTTGTTGAGAGTCACCGCATTGATCATGTAGAAGAGCTGCTTGAACACCTGCAGGATGATCTCAGGGTCCAGGCCCTGGTCGCGCATGACCGTGTGGAAGGAGTTCATCTGGCGGATGACAGCTTCCAGGCAGTAGGAGTTGTCCCCGTCTACCATGCTGGAGGAGCGCTTCCGGTAGCCCGTTGGCTTCACACCAGATAGACCCTGAATGCTCTCATTTTCCAACATGGCGGAGACTGAAAGAAAAGCATGATCGGAGAAGCTGGCATGTGCCCCAGGGAAGATCTGTTTTTGGACCACTCAGATCATTTAGCACTTTGGGTTTTGGTGATGGCACCATCTGTTGACGTGCTCAGAAACTCACAGCATTGAGCATTGGATTTCTAATGTGTTGGGGTCCATATGGAATAAGGTTTCCATATAGAAATCTTGGACCTGGGCCCCCGGGTGGCTCAGCGTTAAGCGTCTGCCTTTGGCTCAGGTCATGATCCCAGCATCCTGGGATCGAGTCCCGCCATCGGGCTCCCTGCTCAGCAGGGAGCCTGCTTCTCCCTCTGCCTCTCTGTCTCTTATGAATAAATAAATCTTTAAAAAAGAAATCTTGGACCACATCTGTACTTAGATTCATTAGTGATGGGACAAAGATAATGGGCGTGTACCAACTCAATTCTGTACTGGTTTCTGTGCTAGGTCCAAAGTTTGAGAATTGAGCAACTCGGGTCTAGTCCCGGCCCACCCACTGACTTGGCCCTGGACCCTGACATCATCCTACTGTTGTTCAAACAGCTCTTTTCCATGAGACACTGACCATATAAATCTTAGGTTAGCTGGTCTTCTTACACTTATTACACAGTGTTTAACTATGTGCCAGGGACTTCATGCTCAGTATTTCTTTCCATGTCCCAACAACCCATTTCCTGGTGAGGAAACTAAGGCATATGGAAGTTAAATTACTTGCCCAAGGCCACACCTTAGGAGTCAACAGGGCCAGGATTTGAACCAGGTGTGTCCAGCGGCAGATCTGATGCTATTTGCCAACACATTATTTGGAGTCATGAAGTATCCCCCGTGCTCCTTACGCCTGCCTCGTAAGAAAGTTCTCAGGAATAAGAATATGGAATGAACCCATCCTAGATGATACATTTCTGGAGGCACGGAGGACTCTGTCCAACTTGGAATTCACCTCTAACTTATTTGTGTTGTAAGAACCCCGGGGGGAAGCTTTACAACATAGGCGCAGGGGATAATGTCCTCCCCAGCCTTCGTGGGGCATCCCGAGTGATGTACGTATGTGTCATTTTTAACTTAAAAAACAGCTCTTATGTTTCAATTCTGATTTCACGCTAAGTGCCCACGTATGCTGCTTTGGACAGAGTGCTCAATACTTATTGCATGAGAACTTGCTACTGTGTTCCTTCATGTGTGCTGCTTAATGCTTTTATTTTTCCACGAATAAAGTACACATATGGGCATGAGGATTATATTTGTTCACTGTATATGCATTTATACCTTTTGAATGTGTATTTATTACCTGTGGAAGATTTCATAGCTCTTCCTGAGCACACAGCACACACCTTGCTGCCTTCAATGGGAAGGTTCTGGTTTCCTGGAGGCCACAGCTAACATATCGGCTTCCCTGAAAGCAGGCAGTGCTCACCACTGTTTCTGGCCCTACAACGAGCGCTGGAGATCTCCTGCGCCAGCTTACCTATCATAGGCTGCAACACACCCTCGGCGATTTTAATGAGTTGCTGGTAGATCTGAATGGAAAGGTCACTCAGCACCTGACGGTATTCAGCGAGGTCAAAGTTCTTAAGACAGTGCTCGTTCTGCTTGGCAGTATTCTGAGTCATGAAGCCCTGCAGAGAGAAAGGGTGCTTTACGGAGGCTCAGTGGTCTGCCGGGCTCAACAGGACCTCCAGGCCTCTGTCACGTTCATGACACCCTATCTGTGGGGCTCCACCAGGCTCTGTTAACATGATGTTCCACAAGAGTCTGTCAGTTCCTTGAGGCCTCAGTGATGGCCCTTGAATTTGAAAGCAGAGCAAAAACCCAGCATGACAGAGAAGTCGGAGGCGCTGCTTGATTTAAAAAGCCTAAATCATTTAGTCCACATCATGAGGCGGTGATTTTCCTAGAGCAGCAAACCCAGGTCGGTAGCCGGTCCAGGGGAAGAGGGATCCATCCTGATTCTCTGTCCCATTATCCTCCTAACAGGCCAGGTTACTTTACAACGTGAAATGCATAGCCACTAAAGGAGTAGGACCCTGGGTCAGATTATGCTTGTATAACGAGAAGTTTTACATAGATTCTATTGTTGGGTATCAGAATTAATAGACAAATGGAAGCGATTTCACTGCTACAGCGCCCTGTCCTCTTTGCTTTCTATACTAACGAGGAAATAACTTTGTTAAGGGAATTGCTAATATCGAAAGGATTCATGTGACCAACATCCCTTTGTGTTCAGAGGCCAAGGTAAACCAAGAGCAGCCAAAAAAATCAGTGTCTTCAAAAGGGCGACCATCCCCAGCAAAGCCTCTCAAACCAGGTCATACTACAAAGCATTTTTTAATAAAAACTAAAAAGCAGGTGAAAGAGGGAATCACTGTGACAGCTAAGATACATATTTTTCTCCCTCTTTAGACCTCACAGATCTGGCTGTACTGTGCTTCGGGTCTTAGGCCCCCCAGTATGTTATTCTCAATAAAAGTGAAAAAGGAAGGGGAGAGAGGAAAAGTCGAGGCAACTCCCAGGGGCCTGGGAGTGGTGTCTGGGGTGAGTGGGATTCTTACTGGAGCGAGGACATGCCCTGTGTCACCGAGCCCCCGGGCTGAATGCAGAGCATGGGCACAGTTCTTTCAGGGACCGGTGTTGGGAATGGTGGGTTCCAGACGAAGCTGGGCCCTCGAGGTCCAGAGGTGAATATGAAATAATGCAGTCAGTTGCGCTGCAGGTCGAGGAATCAAATTTGGTTGGAAGTATGAAGCTGCACCTTAAGGTCAAGGTATACAAATGTCCTTCGATCATGTTGTGCCTCTTCTTGGTGTCTGCCTTAAAACGGACAAACGACTTGTCTGGCTTAGGAGACAGTCTTATGCATGAGACAACTGACCAAACTGACCAAGCTTTCTTCGGGCGTTCATGGAAATGGGGCTCTTCCACAGCTGCTTCTGAAATTTAAGGTCACAAGGCTCTCCCTGGAGAGTCCCAGGGGCTCTTGGATGAAGGATGGCTCATGTAAACTCATTTCCCCACCAATTCTACTTATTTGATTCCGGGCGCTTTCTGGGGCTCCTGGGATTGTACTGTGGCCTGCCTGTCCCTGCTTCTAGCTACCAGGTAGAAGAAGTCATGCCCAGAGCCCGAGGTCCCAGAGGGCGCTCCACAGACCTTGCATCCTCTCCTCAGGGTAGAGGGAACCACATTTGGACAGAGCAGGGCTGCTTTCCACGACACCCCCCGATCTCTGAGCTGAGATCTGCCCTGGAGCAGAACACACATTGCTGTGTCCAAGGAAATGAGGATCCGACGGAGGATTTGGGGTACTTTAATGGTTTTTAAGTGCCCTTTGTGGGTTGGGCTTATGTTAGCACTCACCTCATCCCCGCTATACTGCTTCAAACAATGCAGGAGGCGGCAGGTATTGGATAACCAGAACGAGGTCATCTCGAAGTCCTCATTGTGCTTCTGTGACAAGAAAAAGGCACCCCTTGTTACGAGTAGTGGCTCCCATCTGGTTACATGCCCACCTGGTACCTCTCTTGCCAGGTCTCCAAAATTACTCAGCATGCCCCAAGCAGGCACGATGGCCCATCATGAAGACGAGATCCACTGTCAAGGGGCCGCATTACCATTCCTTCACTACTGGGAGGGGCACAGAGACCCCCACCCTGGTTCCCTGATCGGTGGCACACACCTGTGCAGCCCTGGGCTGTAGGCCAACCCCTGGGCAGCTGGCCCCGGGAAGGCTCTGAACTACCAGTGATCCAACCTAAGAGACATGAAGAGCACGCCAGTGAAATATTCTGGTACCCCACTTATCTAGAGATCAGATGTCCAATGGTTTCAACCCTCTGGGAAATGACCATAAACCATAACGTGGTGAAAGAGGCTGTTGCACAGCCCAGAGAGCTATGACACAGTTTCTGTCCTCAGGCCAATGACAGCACGGAGCTCATTTTGTCAGCTAAAACTGTCCCTGTTTAAATGTCAGAGGCAGGAGCTTCGATGACAATAAAACGGGGGGTCGAACAGAAAGTGACGGGTAGGGCTGGGCATGCTTGCGGAGCCCGCTGATTCGGGAAGGTTTCCCTGAGGCAGTGACCTCTCAAGTCAGCCCTCGACTGGCCCAGACTGGCCCAAGCCCCCGGACGGAGCTCGTGTTAGGGGTTGAGGCAGGAGACTCAGACCTGAGAGTCACCAGCATGTCTTAGAGTCGGGAGTGGATAAAATTGGGCAGGAGGTGCAGCTACTGAGACAAAGCTGGGATGAAGCTAGAAGCTACAGGCTGGTGTGACACATTCCCAGAAGGGGGCGGGGCAGGCGATAGCGGCTGGGAGGGTCTCGGGATGGGTCTGGACTCCGAAGTGGCAGTGCGTATGAGAACGGAGGGCAGTCTCCGAGAGCAATGCTGCTTGGGGCTTGGGCCTGTGGGGAGGAACAACTCTCTCTTATGGATGGCTGATCTCCCTCAAAAATCTGACCTCTCACCATAGCTTCTATGTGGCCCGGCCTCCCCTCCCTGCGGGCCAGCCTCTTACTGCACTGGCCGTTGCTACACTGGGAAGGGGCCTAGTGCCTTTAGGTGGAGTTCCTCCAGTGCCCTGTAAGCAGCCCTGCCCTGGCCCGGGCCTCCTCACTTCGGAAGCTGATAAATGTCTACACCCTTCCCTGGGCCACCACCCTGCCTGGGCAGCAGGCAGCCAGCTCCTTGGAAAGGTTTGGGAGAAGGCCTATATTCAGGTTGTGCTCCTAAAGGTCATTGCAGGGCAGGGTCAGCCCACCCTCGAGTGAGGCACAATGTCCTCCTAGCACCTCTGGTCAAGGCTTTTGAAAGCACCAGGGCTCCCTGGAGGCGGCCGGATGGCAACACTGGATTTCTGGGCGTCCCGCCATTTCTGAGCCTGAGCATCCCGGCTCCATTGGCAAACTGCACTTCCATCATCCACCTTCCGAGCTGGAGGGGTGAGGAGAGCCTAGACAGAGCCCAGCTATGGGGAGGTGTGGGCTTCCGTCCATCCGCCGCCGACCACCATCTCCAGCGCTGGGCACCTACCTTCAGGACTTTCTTAATGCCGTTGATGGTGGAGGTCAGCAAGGAGTGCACCTTGAGGTCGTCGTTGACATAGTCGGCGTGCCTGATGCACATGTAGAGGACGTAAGCAGGAAGGCAGGGCACGGTGCCCGCCAGCATCTGTGGCTTCAGCTCTGACGGCAATAAGCAGCAAGAGTTAGAGTCCAGCAGATGCGTGGGGCTCTGAGAAGCTTGCTCTGAAATTCTGAAATTTTTTCTTTTTTTTTTATTTTTTTTTTTTTTAAGATTTTATTTATTTGAGGGAGTGAGCGAGAGTGTGCACAAACTGGGGAAGAGGCAGAGGGAGAGGGAGCAGCAGACTCCCCGTGGAGCAGGGAGCCCGATGCGGAACTCGATCCCAAGACCCTGGGATCAAGACCTGAGCTGAAGTCAGACGCTTAACCGACTGAGCCACCCGAGGCGTCCCTGAAATACAAATATTTTCAATATTTTCCTGAAGCTCCTCTAAGAATAACCTCTCATGGCGGGGCGGCGGGGGCGGGGCTGGAGGAGGAGTAGGGGAGAAGCTGCCAGGGATACACAGACACCTTCTGCCCCCGAGTACTAGTTTCAGAAACTAGTTAAAAACTCCAAACTGTCAAAAACACATTCCTAATTGTTTGGACTAGAACAATAAAACAGGCTCCTAATGCCTGGTCCTTACAACAAGAAGGAAAGGAGCCCACGGGTAGCTCCTGCCCGGGTCCCCACACAGAGGACACCGCCCTTGGCACCGAGAGCAGGGGCCCGGGGCCGGCTGCAGGGGGGAGCCGGCTCCCCAGGGGGAGCACCCTGCAGCCCACAGCAGCGCTTCCTGCCGCGGGCACAGAGGGCTCTTCCGCAGCCGACTGCAAGAGCAGGTTCTGGGAGAACTTGGCAGACGGCACATTCCCAAAGACAGCCCATGTCCCTGGGCCGCAGGGACCTTTAGCCCACTTAATTGTCAGTTTGGAAACTGTGAACCTGGCAGCAGCTGCCCAGACATCCTCAGAGCCAGGAACAGATCAAGTAGGCTGCTGAGTGGCCACAGGCGGCCCCCACCCCCCAAGTGCCACGGCCCGACGCCAGTCTCCTCAGCCTCTCCACTGACTGGGGGCCTGACCCACGTACAGCCTGCAAACACCTGTCCTGTCTTGGAATGTCCTATCGTGCTCTGAGTCCTGTTTCCCACAGACTCTACACTTGGTCTACACTTCTCTATCCTCCACAGCAACTAGCCCGTGCTGGGGACCTAGAAGCAGGTCAGATAAAGTCTTGGCATTCATTTGGATGACGAGAGGGAAGGGGACTGGTGCGGCGTGCAGGCAGCCTAGCGGGAGATGGCCTCGTCTGGGGCCGCCTGAGCAGGGACAGGGGGAAGGAGCCACCTGCTTGCTGGCACAGCAGCCTCATTAGTTTTTTTTTTTTTTTTCCACTCTACTGTTAGGCACTTTGAGTTTCATTCACCAGAGATGAAAGGCTCATTCCTAGCAGCGTTAGAGTAGGATGCAGCCTGTTGAAGGAAGAGAGGACTTCCGTCAAACTGCTGGACAACTCTAGGGGAATTAACCTTTACAAACAGAGCCAAAATACTGTTACTGAAAATACCCAAAGCAAAGAACAGAGGCAAAATCTGCCCTAAGCTGGAGCCACCCCCATGTTTCTATAGCGCTCGGCCCTCGGCAGGGTGGGACCTTGGCAAACTCGAATTTCTCTAAAATAACGTTTACCTCTTAGTTGACCTTCCAATGCCCCCGCGAAAGCGACCACTTCTTCACATTCGTCACATTGAGAAGGGTCTGTGGCTTTAGCACAGCACTTTCTCCTGTTATATTTCCCATCTGTTGTACTGCCCACATCCCTATTTTACAGGACACCTCAGGCTCCGAGTCATGGAGCTCGTGGCTCAGGGGCCAGAGGACCAGGCTGCCCAAGAGTCTTCCTTTTTTCATCCAGGACTCTCTCCTCCAAGCCTCCTCCCCCTGCTCTGCAGGCAGCTGCTGCACTGGGCTGGGTACACGGCAGAAAGGCAGGCATGGGGAAGCCGGATGGAGCAGGGGCTAGTGTGGAAAGCCGCTCCCAAGAGCCTGGTAGGCTGTCCCCACAGCATCAGCATCGCCCAGGAGCTGGGAGCTGGTTAGAAATGCAGCCGTGTGGAGGGAGGGGGATGGAGGGAGGTGGGGGTGGTGCAGGTGGGGGATGCAGAGTGGGGAGTGGGTTATGTTGGGTTGGCAGTGGAGTGGGGGGGAGGAGGAGAGTGGCGGTGGGATGACACAGAGGGTCCTGACCTGTCACCAGGTTCCGAATGAGAAGGGCCTCGTCTTCCTTGTGGTACTCCAGCATGCCCTGGAAGTCCTTCTCCTTCCGCTGGACAGTGACCTGCCTGTTGAGCTCATGGCGCCTCCGCTCACTCTGGGCCAGCGCCTGGGCAGCTGGGCCGGAAAGAGACAGGGAGCATGAATAGAGACGTCCAGGCTGTAGGCCTGAGATGTAGGGATGCCTTAGGTCAGTGGCGTTTGTTCGGGTCTGGGGACCCAGCATTCTGGGTTCTCTGAGCTCCCACACCCCTTATGTGGTCTGTCCCTGCAGCCCAGACCACACTCCAAGTGTGACCCAAGGAGCTTAGCACCAGGCACTGGGGGCCCCACAGGACAAGCATAGGGGAAACCCCACCAGGCAGGTAGACCGGAGAAAACCTGGGAAGGACAAAAGGCACAGGATGCACAACCCATCCCACCAGGCCACTGTTTCTCCCCATCCAGCTGTAAGAAACGGGGCTACCGTCTGTCTGAGAGGATGTTAGGGCCCTGGCCAGGCCCGCCCGACCCAGTTCCCTGCGTATGGCCACAGAGTAGCTGCCGTGACAGCTACCATCTCTGGGCAAGGCCCAGGCACCATCTCTGACCCATGGACATGGAGCAGGACGGTGCCAGCAGCAGAGGAAGAAAGTCTCCAGCTCCCAGAGGCAGATCAAGGAGCAGGGCTGCTAAATGCAGTGTTTGCAACGACGTAAGCTAATTATTCAAGAGGCATTTTGGTGCTGTGGCTGGGGGTACAAAGGCCGTGTCACCCCTCGCTCAGGACTTCCATTGGCCTGACACTATGGGACAGGGTGGTGGGCATCTGCAGGGCTATCCCCAAGCGTGTCCGAGGGCCTGCCACATACAGGGCACTGTTCTAAGCATGGCAGCAGATGAGATGGAGTAGCCAACCACGGACCCACCAGTCCAGCTAAGGAGACGCATCTGTACATTTAACTGGAAGCACATATTACAGCGCAACTTGGCCAGGTGCCGAGCCCCAAGTGTGGAGCGTGGGTGGTGATGAGGCTGGATAGACAGATTGTTGGAGCTCTTCAGGGAGAAGGGCTGAAGCACAGGCAGGACCTTAACAACCAGGTGGGAAGGAGCTGATCCACCCATCCTCACCAGGCCCCAGGCCCTACAAGGCTCCGGGAGGCACAAGGAGAGGAGCAGGGAGAGGAAGCACCCCGAGGCAGGTGTGTGCTGCAGGGGAGGCTCTGTGTGGGGGCGGGGTGAGCTAGAGAGGAGCAGCGGGAGGGGGGAGTATCGCATTCCATGGGGAAAGAGGTGGTGACTGGAAACACAGCAGCAGGGGCACAAGTGGGGAACTGGGAGGCCCCTACAGTCATCGGGGGACTAGGGGGGAGGGGCACGCACAGAAGCATTCAAGGAGAGCAAACAATAGGTCTTCAAGACTGAACGAAACAGAGAAGCCTGAAGCCGAGCGACCAGGAGAATGAGAACTCAGAGAGAACAGAGAGCTTCAGGGATGGAGAGGGCCGAACAGAACAGATAGCCCTGGCCTCCCAGAGCTTCCTCCTGCGTTCAGGGCAGCAGGTGGGCATAATCAGGTGATCACACAAATGACACCTGGGTTGGGCGCTGTGCCAAGAAGGGCTGGGGACTGACAGATTTATAGCAAGGAATCAGAGAAAGAACATTCTGGAGGTTTCTGGAAGAAAATTTAAACCTGCCTGATCTCTCTGGGCCAGATTCCAGTTTGGAAATTTAATCACAGGACTGACCCCTCTCCTTCCTGACTAACCGTCACATGGAGTGAGGCCCCTGTGGTTGGGGTCTGTGTGTCATGTAGCATTTTTTCCACACCAAAAAGCTTTGCCTCCCAGGTTTAAGCCCCTTGAGGGCAGGGCCACAGGCCCACTGTCTTGGTGCAGAGCTCAGAGTAAGCACCCAAACACCTGCTGAATCTACCTATCTTACTCCAGATTCTGGCCAATTGAGAATGTGTGAGCTCGTGGGGGCTTAGTCTATCCCACGGCTGGACTGGGCACAGGCACCCGGAACGGGTGAAGCAGGAAGAGTCGGCAGAGGGAAGCAGGCAGTCTGTTCCCGTCCGTCCCTTGTGACTGAGCCTGCAGGTGACACACACACACCTTCCAGGTCCTGGACCTTCTTCATGTAAATCTTGAGTTGCTTCTTGAGCTTCCTCTCATTCTTTTCCAGCTTTTCTACCAGTTCTTTGAGGTCCTAAAATCAGAAGGAAGCAGTGTGAGAACAGACAGCCCGGCCTGGAGGGCAGGGGGTAGAATCCTGGGGCCCAGCACGGCCCCCGGGTAGCCGCCAACCCCAGTCCTAAACCCTTGCTGACGGGTGGTTTCTAGATTCTCTGTTCCTGCTATAGGGCCAGGGACGCAAACCTTGCCCATTTAGCCAAAGGCCACCGCTGGCCCCATCTTTTTCTAGAACACGACTTTCCAGGGTGGGATCCGCTGGGCGACATCACTCACCAGGTTCTCGTTGGTCAGCCGGGAGATCTCCTGCTGGACACCAAACTCCACCTGGGCCTCCGGGGAGAGGAGCAGCGTCTGACAGAAGGTGTGCTGTTGCTTGTCTAGCTCCTCCTTCAGGGCTTCCACCTGCGCCTTGAGACCCTCCACCTCCTCCTCGTGCTCGCGGCTCTGGGCCTGCAGCTGGGCCTCCAGCAGCCTGCAGCAGGGCAAGGAGGCCGGGTGACCGTGGGGCTCAGGTCGGCGCCCCACGTGAGGGGCCACGGACGGACACGTGACGGGGAAGCAGCCAAGCACACAGCGGCAGCGATTGCACGAACCCAACAGGGGAATGACGCCGAGGGGAACGGACTGGCAAGCAGGCCAGCTTGTCCTCTCCGAGGACGGGAAGCGGGGAGGGGCCAAACGCGCACCCCTGGTCTGAGGCCTTTTTCTGGACACCCCCTCCCCTATGGCGCTCCTTGTCCTGTGCAGGCGATTGGTTTGGGACTGAGAGATTGTCTCCGTGTCAAAATTCATCTGCAGACATTTCTTACAGCATCGTTTACATAACAGTATCCACATCTGCCCAAATCTCACAAGAATCTCCTTGTTAAGACAAAACCCTAGTAGACTGAATTATATTGCCTGCCTATTTTCCCTATAGATTATCTGCACGTTTTAGAAAAGCAAAACATTAGCTCCTTCCTTTTTCTCTTCCCCACCCCCACTTTTATCTGTGGCCATAAATATATAATTTTTTCTCTAGTCAAGACAGAAATGAAGAGTCTTGGCGAATGATCTAGGGAAGGTTTAAGATCAGCTGGTGTCATGACCAGAAGCAGAAAGACCTCGAGAAGATCTGGGGGAGGTTGGAGAGAAGTCTCAGAAGACTCTGAGTCTGAAAGTTCCCTGGGCAATTCTGGGAGACGCCTGTTCCGTCCATGATGAGAGAAGGCAAGGGATTAGTGAAGCTTCCTAAGCAGCTTCCTCCTCCTCAGGAAGTATTAATGTGAATTAGGTGCTATCTTCTTGGGTTCAAGAGCAAATGTTCTGATTCAGGGCAGTAAACAATCACGTGAAAGAAAGGTAGGAGGTTCTGGATGAAAGGTACATCAAAAGCTGTCTGACATGGTCCATACGCTTGAAAATTCACCCTGGTCTCTCCCAGGGATGCCAAGATGGTGACCAGAGCTTAGCACCCATGTATTCCATAGCTCAGTCAGCTCCATAGTGGCATGGGGTGCAATGCCCGGCTCCCAGGAGCTTCTCAACAGATGCATACAAGTGAAGAAATGATGGAGGAATGACTGACTCACCTGCTCGCCACAGGCAGCATCAACTGAAAGCACTAATAACATGAGGATTGTGGAAAAGAGTTCTGTAATTAAATCAGCATTTTAGAGAACGTAGGATAGAGAGCATTCACTCTCGGCTACAAGACACTAAAAGCATCACCAGTAAGTTATAAACCTATCAAGAGAGAATAGAAACCCCTAGGATCTAGGGACTCTCCCCCAAGATTTGGTTCCTGATTTGTGCTGTGAGTTTGTGTCCACAGCTTTCTTATTCTCCCCACAGACTGTAGTTGGGTGGCTTAGCCCAGGGTTCTGGGCAAGATCCGAGAATCCCTGGCCAAGCACCAGGCTAGCCACCTCCTCTGAGGCCACAGCCAGTGACAGAGCTGGTTCTAGAAGCCAGGTCTCCTGATGCACAGGTCTGTGCTTTCAGTTTTGTTATTGTATTCGTTTGCTTATTAAAAAAAAAAAAAAATCCAATCTGCCGATAGAGAGCCACAAGGAATCACCTGGTTTTACGCATAGCTCTCTCCTCCAAAACAACAAACTTCTCAGTGGGGCAGATCTTACTGAGTAATAGCCATTATAACAGAAATATCAGCTAATATTGATTCTGCACTATGTGCCGGGCACGTACAAAATGCTTCACCTGTGTTAACCCTATTCCTTGTATTGACTCCATGAGGCAGGTCCCATTCTGATCCACATTAGACCAGCAAGGGAAGAGACAGGGGTCACCTTGCTCACAGGCAGTGGGGCCACACTGCAACCCAGAGCCAGGAGACACACTGCCTCAAAAACCCAGCTGATCTGAACGTTCTTTCCCCAAGAACTGATTCTCATTGCTGTAATGGGACCTCCAGCAGGTCATCAGCAGGCAACGCTCCGGAGGTACTATGTGAGGGCACTGGGTTTCCACCTGGCCCTACCACCACCAGGCTGAGGGAGCTGGGCCAACATGGACTCACCTCAGCTTCCTCTTCTGGGACACAAGCCTGCGGACCACCGCCCCATTGGTTGCTGGGAGGCTCAAACGTGCCAAGCTATGCCACAGCCCTGAAGAGCCACACCCGGGCAGCCAATGTGGGACAGGACCATCACGTCGTGCGTGTCTAACCTCCCTGCTAAACTGCTCAGCCACAGCCCAAGGCCAGTGGCTTCTACATTCAGATTCTGGTATCAAATGGAACAGGATTCAAGTTCTGGATCTTCCACTGAAGCATCAGTGTCCTGACCCCAGGGAGGTTCCCCTGAGCCATCAGCTGCTGTTGCCTGGACCCCCACAAGCAGCCTCGCCGCCTCATCCACACGGACCCCGGACACAGCGCGCCGGCAGGGTGACCCCTGTGAATCGCGCCCCGGCCTCCACTCCAGCTGAGAAACAGGTAAGCGTAGACACGAGCGGGCGGGACAGACAGAGCAGACACAGGTAGAAAGGCGTATGTTTGACCTGGCAACTTGCTTTAGGCCTTGGTAGGCCAAGCCGAGCTCTCCATCTTCATTCAAATATCCCCAATCCTCAGTCTTGCTAGAAATAAAGGACAGAAAACAGGACATCGAGTGTAGAAGGAAGAGACGGGGGGCAGAACGTCCAGGAAAGTGAGGCCATTCCAGCCAAGGGTTGGAAATAAAAAAAAAAAAAGGAAAAGCTCAAAAACTCCCAGCCTCCCTTCTTCCTTTGCTGTCACCAGACCCTGAGCGCTTAAGAACATCCCGTCCCCCAGGCCGGGTCTCAGAAGGGGGTCCATGTGCTCTCATGGGAGCTCGCAGATCACGATAGGCTGGGGAGCGTGTTGCCGAGAACAAAGGGTTGCACTTGCCCCGATAAATTCTGTGAACAGCAGCGGTCATCCCCCTCTCCCCCGAGAAGGATTCAGAAAAGGAAAGGGAGAATCAGGAGAGGCACAACCAGGGCAGGGAGGTGAGGCCCGCCCTCGGGAGAGGCTGCAGAGGGCCTCCCGGGGATGGTGCATCTGCTCGGCACGGACTGGGGACACGAGGCTCAGTAACCCTGAGGAAGACGACTACATATTGTCTGCTTTTCAGTGCTGTTCTCCTGTCACTAAGGACACAAAAGCATTAGCTAATCTCACCTCCAGCCCTCACTGCAGTCACACGTAAAGAAACCATGAATAAAAACGGCCACGCAGGATGCCCGCTGAACTTTCTCTGCTCCCCCTGGGGACTGGGCTGCATCCCTATTTACTCAACTTGGAAAGCAGACGGTCAGTTGCCATCTCCTCGCAAATCCTTTGGCCCTCCCCAGTGGCCCAGTGTCTGCCCAATGCCCCAAGAGCAGCTCCTGGAGATCAGGCGCATGTCCTGTGCTCCCCCATACATGTACCTCCCCACCGTCGCAGCCCTGGGCACACAGGAGATCCTCAACGGCCAGTGGGATGGGGCGGTGGGTGGCAGACCAAGCCTCCTCGCACCTGCCAGGATGCTGCCCCTCCCTCTCTGCGCTAGGGAATCCTCCTCATGCTGGTTGGATCCCAACTTCCTGGCAGGAATCACAGAGGAGCTGCAGGTGGTATGCATGGACCAACAAGCCCTTCGTCACTCACAAGGAGAAACAGTCATCCCCTGGAGCCACTCTACCGCTCCTGCTAGGTTCTGGGTGAGGTCGAGGGGGGCCAGCTACCCCGTTTTACCTTGCCGGAGCTCAGCCTCATGAAGGGCGGCCCTAGGCCTTTGCAGGGCTCACACAAGCTGCTTCTTGAGCAAAGCTGGTCATATGGCCCCTAGGTCCCTGAAAGCTGGGTCCCTGAAAAGCTTGAAGAGGAGGGAAGGGGGCAGAGACTGCAGCGAGCATGCTTCTGTGCCCTGAGTCTGTCCCTTACTTTCACAGCTTGTGCTCCCTCCAGCTGGGCAGTGAGGGGATTACTGCCAAGAAGTAGATCCTGGGGACCTCTTCTCTTTAGGACTCTAGCTCCTCAAATGTCCAGAGCTCCCACCAAGGCCTGGCCTCCCCACAGACGGCCTTTGATTGTAGACTTTTAGCTGCCCCCCCTCCCGTGCTTAGCACTTAACTCACCTGTATGTTCTATTTATCTTAGCAAATCCAAAAGTGACCCGGGCCCTGTCAAGGGGGGCTGGCAGCCTAGCACCTTTCCCTTCTCCGCTCCTACCACATTTAACTAGGGCCTTTGAGTAGCTAGTACGTTAGCGCACATGGGCAGCCACTGGGAGGAGATCCAGGCACAGCTGCAGCCCCTCTTGGGGAGGGCCTTGTTGCTGCACAGGAACACAGGATCTTTTCCTCCATCTTGTTTGCCATGCACGAAGGGACCCCGAGATGGAGAGGACTTGCCTGACGCTGACATCCGCCCACACCGGCTGGCCCTCCAGATGCCTCGGAGTGGGGTAGGGGGTGGGGCTGCCGGCTCTCTCCGGCAGGGTCACCGCATTCCTATAGTTCCCTCCATGGCAGACTGAGTCCCACCTCTCAGGCTCTGGCGGATGCGTGTGTGTTGCTAATCCCTGCTCAGAGGGAGACACTCTCAGAATTCTTAATTCTGGAACAGGCCAGGCATGATGCACAAGGATAAAAGTAGAGACTGTGCGGGCCAGTCATCCACGGTGCTCAGGAAGTCAGGCATACCAGTTAATGAAAATGCAGTCAACCAGCTCCAGGTCCAAGCCTTTGTTCCTGGATGAAAGAGGAAAGATTCCTCCACGGAGAGTCTCCCTCCCCTCTGCATGCCATCAGGGGCGAAGGCCTGGGAGGGAGCGCCACGTAGTGGTAGGAGAAAGAAAACCCCAAACAGCAGCTCACAGGAATTTTTGAAAAATAAAGTACATGAGGTCAATGAACAAATCAACATTCGTGGAGACTCTCCTGTGTATACGCCACTGCGCTGAGCCCCGTTCCCGGTGAGGCTTCAGACACACTTGAATATAAAGTCTCCAACTGCAGAAGGCAGCAAGAGCGCGTTGAGGAACCTGGCTGGAGAACCAGGCACCCCAAAGGCATGTCGTGGTCGCTGCCTGCGTGCCCTGGACCTGTTTCTTCATGTGTAAAATGAAAGTGCTCCACTGGCTTATCGGAGGTTCCTTCTAGATCCTTAATGACATAACTGTATTAACTGTAAAGATCGTGCAGCAGAAAAGGCCTAGGATAGTATTTGCTTTCCCTCTGTGGAGACCGTCAGGGCTACAACCCAACTGCCATCCCTCAGTCCTGGTTTGAGGACCCAGCTCCCTGTGGACGGAAACAGGCAAGGTTCCTATGAGCGCGAAGATGGTGGCTTTCCAGTTTCTAAAAAGAGCATGCTGTGCTTCACAGATGTCCTCATTTCTGTAGCTCACACCTGGAGGTTCCACCCAACTGCCCAGGACATTCCCCACAATCTCTGAGAATGGGAGGCCATAACCCCAGTGCTGCGAATGAGAGAGATGCCTGAAACTACAGGCTGGGCCACGGGAAGGTGAACTGTCTGGATAAATATGGCCATGCCACGGAATTACAGCAGACAGGAATTGTACTGGTGGCTTGGGACCCACTGAATTTTGGGAAACCTTATGAGGGAATCATTGCCTCATAGAAGCAAGCCGAGGGTTTCCAGCTGGGAACAGTGACAGCGAGGACTCAAGAGAAGGGAGCTGGGGAGAATGAGGCTCTCTCCCCCCTCCTTTGCTGTTTTGAGCAAGACATCCCACAGCAGCTGGGGCTCAGGGCCAAATGAGCCACGAACTCCAAGCCTATCCTAAGGAATCTGCACGCACCCCTTTCTGGATCTCCACTGTCCCAAGCAGGCCCATTGTAATAACCCCGGGTTTACCTGTCCAACAGGCAAAGCTACCTTCTGTGCCAAGGGCCTCCTGTTGTTTCCTGGAACCTGCTGGGTAGAAGGATTGCAAGGTTTCCCGGGACCCAAGCAAAGGTCTAATAATGCACTCTCAGTTTCTCTTTGGAGCTCTGCAGACTTGAGTGGAAATGGCCAGTGGCCAAAGGAGCACTGTTCCCGGAGCTAGACCTGAGCCCTCACCACACTCCTGCTCCTACCTAGCTCTGTGACCTGAGTGCACGCCTGGAGGTGAGGCTAGCCCACTTCCCTATCCCCGCCCTCCAAACCCTCCAGACACCCACCTCTGTCTGCTGCAGCCCATCCCTGGGGCAAGGACCAGCCCTCTCTTTAACTTGATTTTGGCAACATACAAAATGGTAATAATGTTGCTGATTTCTCTTAGTTCCCAAAATGTGAAAATGAGAGCACTTTCTGGAAGCAGAAGAGCTATCCATATTCCTGAGGTTCCTTCCCAGAACAGACCCTCAATACCGGCTTCTCTCCCAAACTTGAAAACAAAGGAAGACACACAATTCGTAAAGATCAAACAGAAGTCTATAAACTCTGGAAGTTAGGGAGTGAAAGAAGTTCCAAACTGGAACTTCCAGTGCGTGAGTGTAAGCTTTTCCTAGGTAGAGGATAGATCTTTGTAATCCCTCCACCCCAAATCACACATGCATTCATACAACTTCTCTTCCAACAGGAACACTCTCCATTACAGGGAAATCGCAGGAGAGGAGAAGCCGCTGGGTCTTCAGAGCACTCTTATGGGCAGGGGCTGCCCTCATAATAGATGGCCTGGCTGCCTGGCACCAGGAATCACCGTGTGCACCTCCCTCCCTGCTGGGATTACCAAACTGGGAGAGGCACAAACCCACCATGGTCTGGTCTGGTCCCTTTCCAGGTGTGGCAGGCACTGGGGAATGGGTTCTTCAGGCTTCCCACCCTGAGGCAGCTTTCTGTACTTAACTGGGTGTCACGGGCTGTGAGTCCCCTATTGTACCCCGGGATTGCTGGGAATGCAATTATTTTAAGATGTAAGAAAAGCTATTTTTATTTTACCACCACCATGATTACTGCTGCAAAGGAAGACAAATCCAGGGTAAGTAGGCAGCCCCTGGGACTGGATCCCTGACAAGCATTTGGGTGAATAAAAAGGGAGCTGACAGCTGATAACAGCCACAGTGTAGAAGATCAGAAAGATCTGCATTCACTCTCCCTCATCAGGGTCCAGCTTGTTTCCTTCCTTTCTTTTTTTAAATTTCAAGTATTACCTGTGTTCTTTTTTCTTATTCAATGCATTTCTTCACCCAAGATCATTTCAAATGACTAAATCTTGACTCCAGTTTCAGCACCGAGAGGCTCACCTTCATTTCCTTCTCTCTCCTTTCGGGGACAGAACTGCAGCTCTCCGGAAATTTACTCTCCTCCTGGGGGCTGCTAAAAGCCTTCATCTTCTGATTACCTACACAGCATGCTGGAAGCAGCCCAGCCTGGGAGTGAGGCCTTCTGGATCATACCTCGACTCGGTTTCGGGCTGGCTGCGTGCCAGAGCTGCTCACCCCTTCTGGGCCTCAGTTTCCCTATCTGCAGAAAGAGGGGCTAGAGGACCTCTGAAGACTTAGTGTTTCAGAGTCATTCTGTGACGTTCTTGCTGACAACATCATGCTGCATTCCCAGCAACGCCTACTGACATTTTCCAGATGTGCTTGAGGTTTTCGACAATTCTGTACAAATGCTTAGTGACGGATCGACATTCGGTTGAGGTGAGAGAGAACGGTAGCCAGGGACAAGGCCAGCTCTGCTCTGACGAGTACCCACGGGGGCACACAGAGGCAAAGACGTTAATCATGGCGGTCAGTGTTCTAAGTGCATTACAGACTAACTCACCTGGTCTTCTCCATCACTGTGCGTGAGGTGCACTGCGGTGACTGTCCCCAGTTCAGAGGGGAAACTGAGGCACTGAGAGGTTATGAAGGAGTTACTAAATAGCCGGTAAGCGAGTGGAGTCCAGAGTGCCCATTCGCAAGCGCTCTGCCATACTGCCCGGGGGTCTCATCCAGGCCCCGCTGCCTCCCCCAGTCATGCTCTGTTGCCTTAACCTGGGGAGCTCATCCTTAAGGAGGGACAAGAGGTGGTCGGTTAACTAAAATCCAGGGAAAACTCATGGTAGCCAATATGGCAGCGCTCGAATTCTCCCATCCAACCTCTGGGGCGTCTAGCTCGGGTTCCAGCTCTTAAATGCTACGCACTGGGGCCCACCAGCTGGGTTGAGTACAGCCGCTATTAAAGCAAAGGGCTGCAGCGGGCCCCTCCCAGGACTGCGTTGGGCTCATTGGGTGCTGGCTTCCCTCTCAGTGAGACTAGCCACTCTCACCTGTCTTCCCTGCTCCTCCTTTCAACACTGCCGGGGAGGGTCCCTTTCCAAAGGACTGTCAGAGGATCTACGTGCTGGAGGCTCTAGCTGTGTTACTGGGGTCTTGCAGAAGCTAACAAGTGCTTTCCTGAGGGCATGGGAGTCACTGAGTCTGCTCCTTCTCATTTGCCTCCTGCAATAAGGAGACCCTGATGCTGAGCACGTGGTCAGTGTCTGAGGAGCAGACGTCACGCATTAGCTCGGGTAAGACCCTTTCCCATCACCTTGTCCAGGTAGAGCTACTGCGAGCGGGACTTACCTGTTTGTCTGGCAGACCCCATGATAGGCCTCGATGGCGTCCTCCTGATCCACGTGCTTTTCACTGTTAGGCCAACTTGTTCTGGCATTAATGTTCGGCTCCTAGAAGGTCCCAGATTAAAATTAAACTCTAGTCACATAAACAACGGTCATGAAGCGACTTTATATACAGAGGCATAAGCACAAGCTTTTTGGGGGGGGGTGGTGCCCGGGTGGCTCAGTCGGTTAAGTGTCCACTCTTGATCTCAGCTCAGGTCTTGTTCTCAGGGTCGTGAGTTCAAGCGCCATGTTGGGCTCCATGCTGGGCATGGGGACTACTTAAAAACAAAGAAAAAAAGCCCAAGCTTTTGGGGAAAAAACAAAGGTCCAGGATGACCTCAAATAACAGCAGTTAAACCCAGGCGGGAATGTGACTTTCAAAGGCACAGAATGACAAGGCCTGGCTGCAAAGACCCTGAGTGTGGAGTGGTGGTTGGGGGGGTCAGGGGGGGGAATGACAGTGTCTATGGAGGTGACAGCACCCCAAATCCAAAGGACAGGGTGAAAATCTGTCTCAGTGTTGATCCTCCACACTCATGACTACTTACGTATCCCCCATGTCATCCCTGGGCCATGCCCAGAGTGACCCAGGTAGCCTCTGTCCCCTCCCTCCCATTCCCCAGTCTGTCCCAGAAGGTGAAAATATTAGGAACAAATGCTAAGCCAGACTTGCCCCCCGCCCCCCCCCCCCAGCCCCGGGGAGGGCTGAAAGGAAAGACTTCCTCTACCTCAGAATCATAGCAAACACCAAGGGGCAAAGCACAAGGTGAGAAACAAGGCCGAGGGGGCTGCTGAGGCCATGGCCCTAATTCTGTGCCTTGTTCTTTTTGAACACGTTCGTACTGAGTAACTTCAGCAGATTCCAGAAACGTCCAGCAAAGTCTGCCATGAAAGGTCATGCTGAAAGGGCAGCAAGTATCTTGCTTTGCCTTTAGGGGAGAGACCCTGGAGCAGGAGAGTCTGCTCTTTTAAGTTTAAGGTTCTCATGGGTAAAGATATGTAAGCAAAACCCCACCTCTATTACCTAGTGTCACCCCCTCACAAGCCCGGCCGGGGGCTGCCACGTGGTTACCGTGCTCTTGCCGGCGAGTCGGCGCTGGTCAGCACTGACGATCTGGGTCCTGAGGATGAGCACCTCCTCCTTGCGAACCTCAAGCTCCTCATTGGCCAGCTTGAGCTGGTTCAGCAGCAGGCTGTAGCTGTCTGGGGAGCTGTGGGTGGAGTTGTTCTGTGTGGCTTGGTCGGCCACGGCTTTCCTCAGCTCATTCAGGTCATTCTTCAGCTTCTTGTTCTCTGACTCTAGCTCTTGCCTCTGGAAGACAGCCCAAGAAACACACTCCATTTCCCCCTGGACCTCGGGTAGCCTTCCCACGTGGCCTTCTCCCTCCACCTTCCTTAATCAACCTGCCCGGACTCCTGCGAAGCGAAGAGCAACTTTCTCATTTTAACGGTAACACACACCACAAACGTTCTGTCTGGCAAAAGGTCAGTAGTTAACACTGGATTTGAATCCACAGCCCTAAGTTACTGGTGTGAAGCATCTCACACGAGGCCTCTATGATAGCGTTCCCTGAAGGTACTGATAGTGTTCATATTTCTAAGTGTATTTGGCCACGAAACTCATCCTCGTGGAAATGTCATGTTTTAAACAACATGCTTTCAACACTGGACTTCGTTAATGTACTTTGTGACTTTCCAAGAGAGCATATGGACTGCAGGATTTCCTAAACTGATTTCTCTAGAGATCATTGCACTCCCTCCCCACCCCCCAATTCTAAGGAGCACCACATAGACTAAAGTTCTGGAGTATACCAGGAACACTCTTGTTGTTTTGGTCACATAGAAAGCCACCCACAGTCAATGCCAGCAGAAGAAAAACTACCTATGTACAGAGTCAAAAATACCACTGAAATTCAACTTCAGAATGTATTTTAATAAGCTTTCTGCATATAATATCTAACTTTGTGTTTGACAAAGTCAGACCATATAAAGTTTGATAATCATACACATAATGCTTTTAGGGCCTTGCAATATATGCGATTCAAAATTTCCCAACCCCCGCCCCCAAACAGTGGGTAAGTGGGGACTGGTTGCAGGTTTATTACAGAAGCCACAGAACCACAGAACTAGGAGACCATATAAATAAATCATCTCTTCATTTTCTGAGTGAGGACACTGAGGACAGAGCAGAGAAGGCTCACAATGAATTTAGAGGCTCTGCCACGACTAGCGCCCAGGATTCCCGATGCCTGGTTGAGGGAGTCCCACCTTCCAGCCCCGCCACATTTTGTCAGGCCCCCTTGAGCAATGCTCTGCAGGTGTGATGCCCCTCCCCCAGCCCCCCAGGACCCTTCCACCCCTCTCACCCCCTCTCACCCCCACAGGGGGCACGTATAAGCCTGGAGCCCAGCACCCAAATGGTGTACTTCTGCCCCTTCATGCACTAGAGAAGGATTGGGGCCATTTCTAAAATTCTGGCGAGGGGAATTCAGAGTTTCAGCAAAAATCACTACTCGTCAGGGGGGTCCTCCCACAGTCACCTCATCTCCCCCACGTACTTGCGGGCAGGTTTTTCAAATCCAGTTTGGTAAGGATCGGGTTCAAAAAGACAGCTGAGTAGCCAGGTGTGTAGACTCATCATCTGCTTAGATCTTTGCTCAGGCGAAGTCTACCCTCTGGGAGGGCAGAGTACACCTCCCACCCTCCACGCCCTCAGAAACCAGGGCCTGCTAGATACAGGCTGACAAAAAGCCCCATCTTCATCACTTCCCTCAAGGTCTGGGGCTGTTAAGTGAGAAGCATCGCAGCCTCCCCAACACTGGTCTCCCGCAAACCCAGGGGTCCCCAGGGCCAGCCCCGGGGACAAGGTGCACAGGTTAAGCCAGGTCTCACCAGAGACAACGAAGGGAAAACCAGGTCTTGTAACCTCAGAACCGTGGCCTGCCAGAGCAGAGCGGTCTCGGAGGTTCGAGAGTTTGGGAGAAGTATTTATCGAGCCCTCTGTGAGCCCGGCCCCGTGCTGGCAGCCTACAGGAACAGAGTGGAGCATCTTCCTCAGGAGGCAGCTGAATGCAGGAGGAGCTTCTGAGCTGATTTTAAGATGGGCATCCTGGAAGCAGCGTTTTGCCCTTGGACTATAGCAATGGTTCTCAGGGTTGAGTGGGTAATGGAAACCTCGCGAAGGCGTGTGAAAACAGACGGACACAGCCAGTCTGGGCTGAGAATTTGCGTTTCGAGCATGTCTGCAGTGATGCCCGTCCTTGACCACTCCTGGAGACCCACTGGGCTAGACCATCTTACCGGTTCTAATGCACCTAACAAGCTCACTTGCTCGGGGATGGGAGCTGACGAACGGCGTGCAGAAGGCCCATACCACAGGCATCTGTCACACCCACCCCCCTCCCACGGGGCTTTGAAGCTTTCAAATATCACATGAGAAAAATAAATCTAGTCAATATATCAGAAAGGAAGCCCTCACAAAGCCCCCCCTTCTGTGGCTCTCGTCCACGAAGCCATGGGCACGATTCTGGACTGTTCTCCTGGGGCAATGTAGCTGTTACCAGAGTTATCCGTGGTCCCATGAGTGGAGCCAGACTGACCCCGGCAGAATGGATAAATTTCCAATTCCTAAGTCTCTGGGAATGGGAGCGGGGGAGTGGGAATGCTCCAGTGCCCCTTTTCTGTAGATGCCCTCCCAGCCCCAAGGCCTAGTCCCCCAACACTGTAATCAACATAGGCCTGCCTGCCCTGGAACCTGGAGCCTTCACCCTGCAACCTCGCCAGCGCTCGCTGGGCCAGCCCTGGGTGTGCGGGGACATCCATCCCTTCATGCAGGTCTAGATCATTTTTCAAAGTGAATTCATCCCACTGGTCACATATTACTTTAACTGGAACTATATCAAGTCAGTAAAGACATATGTGACCTAACAACAAATACATATTTGGTTCTGACCCTGGTTCCTGGCACAGAGCTTCCAAAACTCTCGTAACTCCTAGTGATAGAGGCAAGAGGAACATCTTTCATTAAATTTGGCCTCAGTGCCTGGTTCCTGACTCGGGAGTGCTAAAATCCTTGGCATTTCCTGATAGGGGTGAGACAGATGTGTGTTGTAAGTCATAACAAGCCCCTTTTGGCCCCACCGAGTTCTTGCTGAGGATGTGGGCCAGCTACCAGGGGAACCAACCCTGAGATTAGAGCGCTGGAGATTATAGCCCCATCCACCAACGCCCCAAAAGGGAAAGACCAGGGCTGGAGATCGAGCTAAACATCGATGGCCAATGATTTTATCATCGTTGCCTGTGGAATGGAACCTCCATAAAACCCTAAGCGAGGGCTTCAAAGGGCTTCAGGTTGGTGAGCACAGGGAGGTAGGGATAGGGAGCATGCACCTGGAGAGGGCATGCAAGCTCTGTGCCCCTTCCCACACACCTCGAGTCTCTTCCGTTTGGCTGTTGCTGAATTGTGTCCTTTATAATAAACCAATAATAGTAAATGAAATGCTCTCCTGAGTTCTGTGGGCTGTCCTGACATATAATCAAACTTGGGAGGGGGTTGTGGGAACCCCCAATTTGTAGACACGTTGGACAGAAGTGTGGGTCACCTGGGGACCCACCAATGTGATTGGCATCTGAAGCGGGGGCCATCTTGTGGAACCGAGCCCCTCACCAGTGGGGTCTGCGCTAACTCTAGGGAATTAGTACCAAAGTTGAACTAAATCACCTCGTTGGTGTTTCCTATGAGTATAGATTATAGTCCTTGTACTAAGTACACATTTTCCTGCATTTCAGAGATGAAGAAACTCAAGGGGATCTTACCTTCAGACTGTTGTAGGCTAGGTCTGCATCCTGGTCCAAGTCTAGGTCATTCTTTGCTTGTTCCACCTGCACAGATGAGGAGATAGCAGGTGAACCCGGACTACATGCAGCTGCTCCACATGAGTATTTCCACCCACGGTCCCCATGCTTGTTTGCACAGGTGCCCGCACGCCCCCCTCACCCCCATATGTCCACTTCCCTCCCACCTCCAAAACGCAGCTCACAACTCCAGGCCACCAGGAAGCTCTCCACGAATGACTCCCCGCCACCCCCCCACCGGCGGCCCTCACCCCCTCCATGATCTATTCACGTAATCCTTAGGCATACGAATATGTATACACTATGTTATGGGTTAAATTATGTCGCCGCAAAAGAGATGTTGAAGTCCTAACTCCTGGTACCTCTGAACATAACCTAATTTAAAATGGGGTCTTTGCAGATAAAATCAAATCAAGATGAGGTCATTAGGATGGGCCCTAACGGTGTCCTTACAAGTAGGGAGGTCTCGCACGCATGTGTACACACCCCCCACACCCACGCAGGGAGGAATGCCACATGAAGATGGGGGCAGAGACTGGAGTCATGCGGTGCCAAGTCAGGGAACTGGAGCTAAGGAATACCAAGGGTTTCCAGCAACACCAGATGCTCAGAGAGAGAGGGGCATGGAACGGATTCTCCTCCAAAGCCTTTAAGAAAGCACGGCTCGGTTGAAACCTTCATTTTTGACTTCTGGCCTCCAGAACTATGAGAGAAGAAATTTCTGTTGTTTTGAGCCATCCAGTTTGTGGGACTTTGTTCCAGCAGCTGAGGAAACCAGCACCATAACTTATATACTATTAAGAAGGTTAATCTATAATTATGTTCTTATTAATAAGATTAAGGAGTTACTTTTAGGTATTTTGGGATGTGTGTGCACATGTGTGTTGTTTTTCCAACTGCTTCCTCCATGTCCCTCTCCAGGAGGGAGTCCGACAGCTGACCCCCTACAATGCTCAATAAATGCTGTCTGACATTAAGCTCTGAAGGATGTAGACAGCAACTGTAATGCTAGCCCATTAGGACTCAAGGAACCAATGACTCCTATGATTATTTGGCAGCTACTGGACTTGAACTGTCAATGAGAAGGGGAAGGAACACCTTCATAAGTGGGGTGCTCGGGGTGATTTCAAGCTGTGGGTGACAGTCCTTGAATAAGATAGGTTTTGGAGCTAAAACCTGACAGTGCTTCATTAGATTTTCTACATGTTAGCAGCCTTAGGTCCAAGGTAAGGCCACCACCTGCCGTGCACGGATTAGGTGAGCCCAGGCAGAGAGAGCTGGGCACCTCTTGCAGACTCTCCAAGATTCAGGGCTGCCACACTGACCACATGGTTTCCTGCCCCTGCAACCTGGGAAAGCTGCTGTCCAGGGTACCAGTCTCCACCTTGCCTCCTGCCTCAGCAGCGGTCCGGGTCTGCTCTTCACCTGCTGCCCCGGTGACAGGCCTGCGCTTGCGTTCCGTGAAGCGTGGATGTGCTGTGCGGCCACGGATCACTGCGGGGTGCATTTGTTTCTGGGAACATGGAGATCACCTACAGTCTGGGGGGCTGTATTAAGGTGGACTGGCAGTTATGTTTCTAAATGGGCAGCCTGTTGGAACTACCCTGGTGGCAAAGGCGACAGGGCCAGGCCTGGGAAAAGGGAGCTGGATGGATGGGAAGTCCAGTACAGGGACAGACCGGCTCCCATGCTGATGTCACATGCTATAGAGGTCTCTGTCCCTCCTTCTCCACAGAGTGGTCTCTCAATAGCTGACACCCCAGGGCACGTCTCTCCAGAGGAAAGACGCAGGTGGCTCAGGATCCCTCTTGCAACCAAGAGCAGATCCAAGAACATGATCTCTGATCATGGTTCAGGGTGCTGTAGAGGGATTCCATAACTTCCATCCCCTGCCCCACTCCTGCTTTTCTTACTAAACCGTCAAAAACAAGATCCTTCTCCTTAAAGGGAGATCCTCAATACACATTCAGGGCTAGGGGACAAGCCTATGTTCTAACACTTGTTCAGTGATTGCTTTTAAAGAAAGTGATAACTTTTTTTTAATTTGGTATCAAAGAAAAATTCTCAAGCCAAGATTTCAAAATTATTTGGCATTTCTGCAGTAGGGAACCCTGGAGGGTGAACATCTGGGGATAGCTGAGTGGGCCGGGGACTTTGATGTCAGCCACTGTCTGGTGTCATCGATGTGGATTTTCTTTTTTTTTTTTTTTTTTAAAGATTTTATTTTTATTTATTTGAGAGAGAGAATGAGATAGAGAGAGCGAGCATGAGAGGGGGAAGGTCAGAGAGAGAAGCAGACTCCCCGCCGAGCAGGGAGCCCGATGCGGGACTCGATCCCGGGACTCCAGGATCACGACCCGAGCCGAAGGCAGTCGCTTAACCAACTGAGCCACCCAGGCGCCCCCGATGTGGATTTTCATACATTTGACGTGTGCTGCCTGTCAGGGCAGCTTCTCTTCTAATGGACCGAGTCATTTGTAAACCTAATCCTTTCACTCTCCATTTGGAAGCTAAGCCACCTGAGAGATTGAAGTCCATCAACAAGATTCACCTCCCCACTTAGTGCTCAGAAGAATACCCAAGAATACGCTAGCAATACAGATCAATGTCTGTATCACATCTGAAGGGAAAGGGAAGCCAGGTGCTACCAAAAGGAGACCATGTGCAGAGGTAGGAGTGGGGGCAAGGCTGAGATGCAGGAAGGGGGTTGAACTCCACAACGGGCAAATCAGGCCTAAGAACAGAGCACAGGCCTTTGACAAATCCACTAGGAGGTCAGCTAACAATGTGACCCATGTCAGAATCAGCCTTCTACCCCATTAGAAGTGGTCCTTCTACCTCCCAAGAAACAACATGTGGTTCCTCCCTTTGTCTCACTGCTAACTTCCATGGGCTCTGTCCACTCCTACAGCACACCAATCCGTACCCAACCTTGCATGTATTTGAGCACTACCGATGTTATTCTTTATTTTTCACCCATGTTATGCCTGGTCCTCCCAACCTAGATCACAAATTCCTCAATGGCTAGGGAGTTTTCTTACATTTTTATCTCATTTCATAAACGTTTTGAATACCTACTATGAGCAGAGTGCTGAGCATTGCGCAGGTGCCAAGTGGGTCCCTGAGACACTGAGAGATCTGGGGACACTAAGGTTTTCAAGCAATATCCTTTCAAGACTGAAAATACGGGGCGCCTGGGTGGCTCAGTTGGTTAAGCAACTGCCTTTGGCTCAGGTCATGATCCCGGAGTCCCGGGATCGAGTCCCGCATCAGACTCCCTGCTCAGCAGGGAGTCTGCTTCTCCCTCTGACCCTCCTCCCTCTCATGCTCTCTGTCTCTCATTCTCTCTCTCGCAAATAAATAAAATCTTAAAAAAAAAATTAAAAAAAAAAAAAAGACTGAAAATACAGATGATAATCTGGGCTGAGGTCAGGGAGCAATCATGGGATAGAAGGGTGAGCAACTGCAAACCTGGGCTACCCCTACCTGAGTGGGGCTAACTCAAGTCCATGTCAGACTCCACATAAGGGGAAATCATTTTTCTCTGCTAAAATTTGACTGCGGCTTGTATTTATACTTGAATCACACATCCCAGTCCTCTTGGCAAATAGGGGACAATACTACAGCCCCCCTGCCCCCGCTTTGCCTCTGGAAATCCCTTGCCCTGGGGGTACTTGGGATAGCCTCCTCCTGTCCATCTGGGGTGGTGTGGGGGCACCGGCAAGAAGAGAAGACTCAACATGACACCAACAGCAGGAGAAGCTCTTTCCTGACACTCAGCACCCTCAGGACCCCAGCAGTCACAGCCTGCCACGTGAGCCATGGGAGGAGGATGCTGGGTCATTTGATGCTAGCACCCGGGGGCCGCTCTGCAGGCTTGCAGCCCCAGCACGCACCTGCACCTTCCTGCTGTCCTGCTGCTCTCTCTTCTCCAGCTGCACCTGCAGCTTCTTCCGCTCCTGCTCAAGCTCCCGCACCCTCTTCTGCAGCTTCAGGAAGACTGTCATGTCCATGGCCGCCTTTTCCAGGCCAATGTCCTTCAGGGGAACACAGGGAGCCGGGAAGGAGGTTTCAATAGCTTCAGCGCCTTAGGGGACATACAGCCTGCCTCTCTCTCAGCTGCCTGTCTTCTCTCTCCACCCAGACATCAATCCACGCCCCAGAGGCAAAGCCAGTGCCAACCAACCATCAGTTCTCATAGTAAAGTTGGCACCCCAGGCTCATTTTCTGTCTAGATAACATCTGAGTCTTGGCCATTTATATTTCTGTGAGAGCCACTTAAGATAACCACTCATACATTCCAAGAATAGATAAAGACACAGCCATTTTATTTGGAAGTTAAAAGAGCTCACTTATGAAAATGGTCTCATACCAGAAAAATGGGAAAGCGCAAGCTTTAACGCTTCCTGACGAAGAATCGATGTGGTTACCGATCCCTGCAAATGGGTTATCGAACACCACTGGATGGCGCCTTGAAACAGAACCAACACTTCCCTGCCATGGGACCCCTTTCTTCTACAGATCGTAGAGCATCAGTTTCCCAGATTTTTTCCCCTTTGGATTCAGGCCTGGCTTTGTCCCCTGGGGTTCTGTTGTGTGTAGGTGTGCATGTGCGAACGTGGGTGTCTGCACGGGCATAGCCATGTGGACTTTAAAGTGCACGTGTATACGTGTGTGACCATATAACTTGGTTCAACACGCATTTCAGGAGTGCAGTGTGCTCTGCCCTGGCTCACCCTAAGAACCGGCCTCAGTTTCCCTGAAGAATGAAGTCCCCGGTGGAAGTGCTTATGTCTGCAGAAAAGGCCACACGTACACCTGGGAGGCCCGTCTGGAGCTCAAGAGGCTGAAGCCTCCGGGACCCAGGCTTAGGAGATCGCAATGGTACAACCAGGGGCCTTAAGCAAGCGTGTGTTAAGCACTTGCCAGGCGCTCATGACCAGCAGCAGACCACACTGAACTGTACGACAGACCGCTTTCTTGTCCCAGGGGCTCCTTTTCTATCCTTCCCCACCTTCTGTCACTCGCCGTCTCTCATCATATGCATCACACATACACCCGCAGTTATATCCCAAACTTCCCCCATCACCTGATGGTCGCCTGACTCCGCACCCAACAAGCCCCATGAGGGCAGGGGCTGTCTCGGGCTCGGTGACCACTCCTCCTCCAGGGCTCACCCGCGGTGCCTGGCACAAAGACGTGCTCAGGGCACATTCGTGTTTGTGACCGTCTCTCCTCGAGGTCTTTCATGTGCTCTGTAAGGTCTTATGTGCTTGTGATTTTCTTCTTTTCAAATGCCAGAGGAAAAACTGTGACTATGGACCTTTGACAAAACCACACACGGGTTACCAAGTCCACTGAGTGGTACCGTATTTAGAGACAAAGATGTCGTCACTCAGCAAACATGTGTGGTGCCAGATATTCCAAATAATTCTTCTCTGAGTTTGATCCAGCTTCTTGGTCAGGGAAAAAAAGAATTCTTGCATATGTATGGATATTCCGTATGTGTGTGATACTAAACGGGGATGATAATCTCTATTTTAATGACTATACTGTTCTTCTTTTTTTTTAATTAGAGAGGCTGTGGGGGGAAAACCTCCAGCAGACTCCATGCCTAGCATGGAACCGGACATGGGGCTCAATCTCACGACCCTGAGATCATGACCTGAGCTGAAATCAAGAGTCGGAGGCTTAACTGACTGAGCCACCCAGGTGCCCCAGAGCTGTTCCTTCTCAAGCCCGTCATTTTACCTCTCTGCCGTAGGTTCTCAGTTTTATAAGAGTGCCAACCAGGGATTTACCTTCTTTCTTTCTCCCTGGATAGTGGGTAAGGTGAACAGCAATGTATCGCTTTGCACAGTAAATATTAACTCCAGGGTACTGTCTCTAAGTGCCCTGCAGTCCAAGTGATCCGTCGTCAGGAAGAAGCCCCACCAACCAGAAGAGGAAGTCTCCCTCCAGCTGGGAAACCTCAAACAGCTCCACTCCCCCTGGACCACGGACAGCAGCCTCCAGCCTGCCTTACTCACCTCCACCTGTTGAAGGGCATCCTCTGCGTCTCCGACCTCAGATGTGGAGATGGAGGGGTAATTGGAGTCAGACTCTAAGCTACTTTGGTTTGATGGGTTCCGCCTGTGGCCTGGGGTCTGCTGTTGAAGGAGAAAAATGTGAGTACTCATAACAAACTACTGTTAACGGGAACTGTTCCTGTTCAAAGGCCAGTAGATCCTAGAATTGGGACTTCTGCCTCATTTGTCAACAAGAACAGGTGTTACTGTTGCTGGGAACAATGGCTAACGGAGCTAACTCCCACAGAAACGTCACGGACCGTTCTTACCGTCATCCATCTAGCTAACCAAATGCCCACGGGAAGGAACCCATGGCAAGACCGAACTCCCTGATGAGCCTCGTCCTGAGGTCCAAATCCCTAACACGTAGGCCCATTTCTCTGAAAGTCCTGGGGAAACCACCCGTATTCTCCTGGTCTTGCCCTGAAAGTACGAACACACCGTCCTGTCCCTGGCCCCCCGGCAAACTGCCTGTAATGACCTCATACAGCACTTGTGCCCCTCCCCTCAACGTTATGAAAATAGTAAGCATATTAGAAATAGAGGTTACCATTTATACTGTTCGTTTAAAAATACTTTTTTTTTTTTTTCCCTTGCATATGATTCGGCTTTGAGAGTAAAAACTGACCTTGGTCAGAAAATTTTGTATTTATATATGTTCCTATTTAGCTTCTCTTCCTGGTTTCTATGCAATTAACTTATCAATCTCGTTTGAGGATGCATTTCTGGAGGCAATGTTTATGTGGGGTAAAAAAGAATGACAAATCCTGAAATAGGACGTTTCTCTGTCTATTGCGTTTCAGTAGAAGACTGGGAGAAACAATCAGCCCCTGGGCGTCTCCCCGCAGTCCTGCCAGGGACGCAGAGATCAGAACTCCCCCCACACCGTCACTGTTTCAACTCAGGAATTTTCCCAGAACAGGGAACAAGACAGACAGCATACACCTGGGTGGGATTTTTCCTTCGGCTCCTGAGATCTTTGTGAGACCCCAAAAGCTGGGAACGGAGCCATCCCTGGGAAGGATCGCTGGGCCCCGTTACTTGTGTGAGAACCTTCGGCAGGTGCAGCGCAGCGGGCGGCAGCGTGGGGGCCCGAGCCGTGTGGGAATGGCGGCGGAAAGCCAGACGCGGGGCCGGCGCGGGGACAGGGGCAGGACTGCCCTCCTTGCCTTGATGATGGTCAGCTCATCCCGAAGGTTGTCGTATCTCTGCTCCAGCCGCGAATATTCCTTCACGAGGTTCTGGTAGCGGGAGCGCTCCTCCTCCAGCTCTTTCTTCATCTCGAGATTTTCCTTGACGGAGTTTTGGGCAAATTCATCTGGAAAGTAAGCACACTAAGCTGCAGTTTTGCTTTCTGAATGGATTCCCCTCACACGTATTGATTGCCTCATGCTTTCTGATTAATCTTTTAATTTTTTTAAAGATTTTATTTGACAGAGAGAGACACAGAGAGAGACGGAACATAAGCAGGGGGAGCGGGAGAGGAAGCAGGCTCCCCGCGGAGCAGGGAGCCCGACGTGGGGCTCGATCCCAGGACCCTGGGATCATGACCTGAGCTCAAGGCAGACGCCCAACGACTGAGCCACCCAGGCACCCCTGATTAATCTCTTCTTAAAAGGCTGTCCATGACGAGCTCCTTCCATGGACCCCGGATGCTTTTATCCAGCAACCTCACCCACTGCAGAGCGAAGGGCAGCTGGCTATGGTGGCGTCAGTATTCAGAGAAGGGGGAGAGGCCACCCTGCTTTTGGGAAAGTGCGAGAGAAGCAGACAGCCTACGGGACATTCCCTCACTTAACGCACCAACTTCTCTCCTGTGACGACTGTCACGGCAGCTGCTAGCAACGTCCCTGGAAGAACCCAGGCTTTGTTCCCCACTTTTGTCCCCATTCCTGATCTTCCGTGTTCTTGAAGTGTAGGGAGATTGAAGGATGGAAGGCAAATAGATCACATGGGTGGGCTTTCCCCCACAACCAAAACTTATTTATACCAGTAGAAAGAAATCATTTTTAAAGGGAAATTAAAAAGTTTAAGTTTTCAATGAGATTTCATGCTGGCCGGGACTGTGCCCTTGGGTGGTTCAGGCAGGAGAGAGACCTAGGGATGGGAGAAGGTGAGTGACTTGCTTAATGGATCCACTGAGCCAGGCAAGGACTGGGGTCTGTGGACACCCACTGCTTCTCCTTGGCCAGACAGCACATGGTGGTTGATGGTGGTGCAAGGCTGGCTGGGATCTGACCCGATTTGTCCTTCAGCAAACATTAACAGAAGAAATCACAACATGTATTATGGATGCTAAAGTTTAAAATCAGCAGGAATGACAGCTCCGAGGTGCTTATTATGTGTCAAGCACCATGCTAAGTGCTTCATACTTCTGAGGTCTGTACTTTTATGTCCATTTTGCAGATGAAGAAACTGAGGACTATAATCATTAAGGGAGTTGCTCAAAGCCAGGCAGTAGCATGTGGTAGTCATTCTTTGAGTGCAGGTTCCCTGGGCTCCAAATCCCATGCACTACTTTGTCCATCATGTGCGTGTCTCACCACATTCAACTCTTAAAACCAAGAGTCACAGCAGCATATTAAAGACCACCCTTCTTTTATGTGTATTAAAGCCCTTTCTCCAGTGCACCGTCTTAACTGTGTTCTTGCTAGGAGTCCTTGGGGGAAAATCAGTGTGGAAAAGAAATTGAACTCCAAAATGAAAAATCAAGCACTTTGCACTTACCTTTCGCTTGGCACAGGATTTGGTTGTTAAGCTGTTCTTTCTCATCTTTTAAGAGGGCATTTTCTTGCTCCAGGACTGCAACTTGCTGAAAGGGAGAGCAACAGGAGAAAATGTTTGCCCTGTGCAGCTGGGCAAAGGAAAGGCTCCTTTTGTGGGGTTTGAGGTTCAGCTGGTTATGTTTAAATGCTCTTAAGAAAATCAAGTCAGCCAATAAAAATGGCCAATAGACACATGAAAAAATGCTCCATATCACTTGTCATCAGGGAAATAGAAATCAAAACCATGATGAAAAACCACCTTACACCAGGAAGAATGGCTAAAATTAACAAGGCAGGAAACAACAAATGTTGGCGAGGATGTGGAGAAAGGGGAACCCTCCTACACTGTTGGTGGGAATGCAAGCTGGTGCAGCCACTCTGGAAAACAGTATGGAGGTTCCTCAAAAAGTTGAAAAAAGAGCCACCCTACGGCCCAGCAATTGCACTACTGGGTATTTACCCCAAAGATACAGATATAGTGAAATGAAGGGACACCTGCACCCCAATGTTCACAGCAGCAACGTCCACAGTAGCCAAACTGTGGAAGGAGCCGAGATGTCCTTCAACAAATGAATGGATAAAGATGTGGTTCATATATACAAGGGAATATTACTCAGCCATCAGAAAGGATGAATACCTACCATTTACATAGACATAGATGGAACTGGAGGGTATTATGCTAAGTGAAATAAATCAATCAGAGAAACACAATAATCATAAGGTTTCACTCGTATGTGGAATATCAGGAATAGTGCAGAGGATCATAGGGGAAGAGAGGGGAAACTGAATGGGAAGAAATCAGGGAGGGAGACAAACCATGAAAGACTCTTGACTCTGGGAAACAAACTGAGGGTTGGGGAAGGGGAGGGGGGTGGGGGGACGGGGTAACTGGGTGATGGGAATTAAGGAGGGCACGTGATGTGATGAGCACTGGGTGTTATACGCCACTGATGAATCAATGAATACTACATCTGAAAGTAATGATGTGCTATATGTTGGCTAATGGAATTTAAATAAAAAAGGAAAAAAGAAAATCAAGTCAGCCAAAACTGCTTTTGTTTCAAGGGGGAAAACTGTTACATTGAAAGAAAAATCCCATTAAAACAAGACAGATGAGCTCTTTATGGTCTTCCAGGGCCCACAAAAACCTCATGAAAAGTCAGCACGACGCTCACAGGCCGTGCGCAGGAACTGACGACAGGCTTTCACCTCTTGTGTTTGGCTGCTTGTCTCGGTAAATTTTGAGCTCTCAAACCTGAGCGTCAGGAAAGCCCAGAGCTCACAATGAAGAATTCTCTCTGGTCTTCATCCCACTTGCCCTCGCCTGTCTCCCTGGACCAGCACAGCTTGGGTGCTGCAGAAGGAAGGGGAGCTCTAGTGTTTAGCTTCTTACGAGACCCCCAAACGAAGCACGAAGTGACTAGTACTGGAAATGGCACAAAAAGAAAACAGTGATTAAAGAAAAATTCTGGTCTGCTCAGAGAAAGAATTAAAACCACATGTGGCAAGCTTTTTCAAATGAAAATCTTTGGCTATTCAGGACTGGGGCAAATATTTGTATAGATTTAGAAATGTAACAATTCAGACGTGTTCTAAGAGAATGAGAAGTTATTAGCTGTTATCAAGGAGGATGAGAAAGGGCTCTCTTTCTCCTGTAACACGGGAACTCGCGTGCAGTGGAGCCACCTCTGCATTCTCTCTCTGGACCCCCCGGAGACTCCTGTTGCAGAAGGCCACCGAGTTGTTTTCCCCACCAATGTTGCATCCATCCCTGCCTTCAAGACAGAGGTAAGGAAGTGAGCACTGCAGAAACTGGACGGGAAAAGGAAGGACACGTGCCCAGGGGCCCTTAATTCAGGCATCTGGACTTGAGTCCCACTTCCCTGGAGGCTCTCTGAACCACCGCCAAGGCAGCACGGAAAGAACCCCTGCGATCACGCCGCTATCAAAGCACAGCAAATCTGGCTGGAGGCCAAGACAATGAGCTTCACAGCCACAGAGCTCTGGCTCTAGAAACCACAGGTCCCTTTCGGTGACATGGACTTGCACCTCACAGGGCTGCTCTCAGGATTCAGTGAGATGATGTATGTGGAGTAAGAGCGGCAGGCACAGCATAGAGTGCTGACGAATATTTGTAGATGGTTCTACAACAGTCCCTTCACTAGGCACTAAGTGGAAACAGAGGCTTTAAAATCATTCCACCACTTAGGGCGCCTGGGTGGCTCAGTCAGTTGGGCGACTGCCTTCGGCTCAGGTCGTGATCCCAGGGTCCTGGGATCGAGTCCCGCATCGGGCTCCTGGCTCAGCGGGGAGTCTGTTTCTCCCTCTGACCCTCTCCCCTCTCATGCTGTTTCTCTCTCAAGCTCCCCTTCCTTCTGCAGCACCCAAGATAAAATCTTTAAAAAATAAAATAAAATCATTCCACCACTTTGCAAAAACCTGAGGGAAAAATGAGTACCTATTCTGCACTGGTTATTTCATACAACAGTAGAGAACATTTTTCAGTTTTTTTCTTAAAGATTTTTTTATTTATTAATTTGAGAGAGAGAGCATGTGAGCAAGAGCACAAGCAGGAGAAAGAGTCAGAGGCAGAGGGAGAAGCAGGCTCCCCAGGGAGCAGGAAGCCCGATGCGGGACTCGATCCCAGGACCCTGGGATCATGACCTGAGCCGAAGGCAGATGCCCAATGACTGAGCCACCCAGGTGTCCCTTTTCAGTTCGTTCTGTGAGGCTAGTAATATCCCGATACCAGAACCAGACAAAGGTATCACAGGAAAGCCACAGACCATTATCTCTTATGAGTACAGACGCAAAAAACCCTTAACAAAATGCTACCAAATGTTCATGATAAAAACTCAACAAACTAGGAATAGAAGGGGCCTTCTTCAGCCTGATAAAGGGCATCCATAAAAACCCACAACATCAGACTTTATGGTGGAACACAGAATTCCTTTTGCATCCACGGTCAGGACAAACACAAGGATATCTGCTCTCACCCAAACTATTCAACGTTGCACTGGAGATTCCAGACAGGGCAATTGGAGAAGAAAAACAATTCAATGAGGAAAGAATAGTCTTTTCAACAAATGGCTGCGACAACTAGATTTCCACATACAAAATAAAATTGGACTCCTACCTCACACTATATACGAAAACAAGCTAAAAAGGTATCAAAGACCTAAATGTAAGAGTTAAAACTACAAAACTCTTGGCAGACACATAGAAGCAAATCTCTGTGGCCCTGGATTAGTCAATGGTTTCTTAATACAACACCAAAAGCACAAGCAACCAAAGAAAAAACATTTAAATTGCACTTCATCTAAACTAAAAACTTTTCGGCCTCAAAGGATACTATCAAAGGCAAAGGGCAACTCACAGAATGAGAGTAAATATTTGTAAATTATCTGATATGGGACTTGGACCCTGAATATACAGAGTATCTACAACTCAACAGAGAAAAAGAAATCCAATCAAAAAATGGGAAAAAAACTGAATAGACACTTCTTCATGTGGCCAATATGCACATGACAAAATATTCAATAGGACCACCGCCAGGCTGTCACGTCATTAGGGGAAAGCAAAGCAAGACCGCAATGATTTATCACCTCACATATACTATGATGGTTATGATACAAAAAGATAATTACAAATGTTGGAGAGTACGTGGAGAAATCAGACTTCTCATATCCTGCTGATGGAACATAAACCAGTGCAACATCTTTGGAAGTTCCTCGAAAATTGCATTTTAACCCTGGTAAGACCAACAATTCCATTCCTAGGTTTCCAAGAGAAATGAAAACCTATGTCTACACAAGAACTTGTATACAGATGGTTGCCGGAGCGTTATTCAGAAGGGCCAAAAAGTGGAAACAATCCAAATGTCCATCAATGAACTGATGAACAAAATACGGCATGTCCATATGATGAAATACTATTTAGCAATGAAAAGCAATAAAGTATTGATCCATGCTACAATATGGATAAATCTTGAAAACATGATGCTAAGTGAAAAAGGTCAGAAAGTCACGTATGATGATTCCATTCATATAAAGTGTACAGAATAGGCAGATCTATAGAGACAGAAAGTAGATTAGTGGTTGCCTAAGGATAGGATGGGGAATGGGGTGTGACTGTTAATGGATACAGTTTTTTTGGGGGGGGTGATAAAAATATTCTAAAATTAGACTCTGCGATAGTTGTAGAACTACTTTAAAAAACACTGAATTGTACACTTTAAATGGGTAAACTATGGTATGTGAATTATATTCAATAAAGCTGCTAAAAAATCATTCCACAAATAAGCCTATCCACTAAGCACAGTACCCTGTGCTCAATGTGACAAAAGATAAAAAGAGAAGTATAAGACAGGCTCTCAGTGATGAGCTTCTTCACAGCTCCAAGACTGGTAAGTGATGCAATGAATGACTGCATTCCCTGGTTCAAGTCCTCACTTCTAGCCATGTTTGGTACATTTCATGATCTACTGGCAGTGGTTTGGGGGCAGGGGGGGAGAGAGGATTCCTCCCAGCCTGTGTAGAAAGAGCCTCAAAGAGGATATCTTTGGTACACCACCATGTTCACGGTAGCTGAGACTAGAGGGTAACCTCCGGGGACCACTGCCTAGGAGATAGGTCCCTGATGGACCCACCGGCACTCCCATCAGAGAAACACCTTTCAGACTCTGCCAGAGCCCTTTGGCAGTAAAAGCAAGAATGGAGGCCCCAGGGATGCTGGCTAAAGGGCAGAAACCTTCCTGACATCTGAATTTCAACTATTTATGAGTAAATGCTACCCTCCCTTCCCCCCCTAGCTTTAAAGTTCAGCTTAAGGCAGCTGGGGGGTGAGGTAAGAGGACAGCTGCCTCTCCCCCACAAAGCTCAGCATCGTGTGGGAAGGGTCAGGAGAGAATTTCAACAAGGCTGGAGTCCAGGAATGAGGTCACCTGTCCTCCCCGCCCCCCGCCATAGGGGCTCAGAAGGCAGCGACTCTCACAGGTGCGCCCGCTACTCTGGGAGCCTGACGGATCTGCAGATGGCTTGCTCTCTAC